TAGAACATATAAAAAGATCTTTTCTGGGTCAGAACAAAGACCTTTCTAGTATAGCATGCTATGCCTCTTGTGCTCAGCCCAGTCTTGAAAACCAAGAGGAGGTCTGTGCACATGTTCAGAATGGAGATTACACAACCAGCAGACTTGCTCCCTGTTTGTGATTTCAGGTGACCTCCCAACCCATGCTTAACAGAACATGAATTCTTTTTTTAAAATAAGTTTTAATATTATTATTATTATTATTATTATTATTATTATTATTATTATTATTTTCTACAAGCTAAAAAAACAAAACTAAAAACATCAATCATCAAAGACGTCAGACCTACTGGGTCAGCCCCTCCCTTTTTTTATAGCAATCCATAGACATATTCAAATCTATGCATAGTCCCGTTTCTCTAGCCAATAATAAAAGGAGTTCCAAGTTTGATAGAAGTATGTATCCTCTTTCTCCTTCACAGACAAAGTCAGCCTGTCCATTTCAGCACAGTCCAGAATCTTTTTTAAAATCAGTTCATCAGTGGGTGGTCCTTCTCCAATGTTGGGCAAATACAATCCTTGCTGCAGTAATTACATGTAGAATCAAATACATTGCTTGTTTGTCAACATCATCAGACACAATGCCTAATAAAAAGACTTCAGGTTTAAATATTAAAGATTTTTGTAACATTTCCTCAAGCCATTTATGTATTTTAGACCAATATTTTTTTGCCTTATCACAAGTCCACCACATATGATAAAAAGAACCAGGTTTATGTTTGCATTTCCAACATCCTTTTGACATATTTGGAAACATTTTTGCTTGTCTATCTGGTGATAGGTACCATCCATAAAAAATTGTATAAAGATTTTCTTTTGCTAAGGTTACCTTGATATTTCTTTGCCACAACTTTTGCCATTTCTGTAACTCAATATTATATCCAAAATTTTGTGCCCATGTTATCATAGTTTCCTTAACTTGTTCATCTTCCATTCTCATATGCAAAAGAAAATTATACAGTCTTTTAATCATTTTTTATCTGATGTTAAGATCATTTGATCAAATGTTAATTCCTTATAAAAACCCCACATTTTATAATCTTTAACGTATCTCAATTGTATTTGAATCTTATGCCACCAAGAGATATAAACAGAACATGAATTCTGTGGAAATCCATGACTAATATAATAAATTGCCAGGTGTAAATAAACAATAAAATAGAAAGTAGAACACTTAGCTTAATGGGCTACACCTATAGCTTATGACTTTCTAGATGCCATGCCCTTTCTTAGGAAGTTGTTGAACATGAATTTCTGTGGAAATCTGAGAGCAAGGTAAATAGTATTGAACCCAGTGCCAGGTCACCTTCCCATATCAGATAACTTTCTCATGGTTCAACTGGCGGTCCAAGTCCAGCTGCTCTGTCTCCCAAGCTGTTCCCAAAGCTGCATCCCTCTGTTGTGCATTCTGAAGGCACCACTCAGTGCTGTCTTGTGGGAGACACACTCCTGAACACATGAATGCTCAGGCTCGAGTCCACCAGAGCTTAACATGGGGTGCCGAACTCCAGTGGTCCTCCAGGAAGTGTTCAGAATGGAGTCTAACAATAGTGACAAGAGAAGGGGTGAATTCTGGTTAGTCACTGACACTAAGTCTAGCCTACTTCACAGGATTATTGTGAGGATAAAAGGAAGAGGAAAAGGGTCGTGCATGCTGCCTTGAGCTCATTTGAGAAATGGTGGACATTCATGTAACAGAAGTTTCTATTTCCATTTTAAGTCATTTAACATCTCCATCGACATCTATAAAGGGATGCAGGTGGTGCAGTGGTTTAAACCGCTGTGCTGCTGGGCTGGTTGATCGAAAGGTCACTGGTTTGAATCTGCACAACAGGGTGAGTTCCCGTTGCTCCGTCCCAGCTCCTGCCAACCTTGCAGTTCGAAAGCATGCAAACGCAAGTAGATAAAAAGGTACCACTTTGGTGGGAAGGTAAACAATGTTCTGTGCACCTCAGTGTTTAGTCATGCCGGCCACATGACCGAGGAGACTGTCTGCGGACAAATGTTGGCTCCCTTGGCTAGGAAACAGAGATGAGCACCGCCCCCTAGAGTCAGGCATGACTGGACTTAATGTCAAGGGGAAACCTTTACCTTTTACCTTTTATCGACATCTATCTCAGGGTTCTTGGAGACTTCAAATATGAAAAGGGCAACCTTGGAAAAGTATGCAGCTACGGGAGTAAAAGATGCCTTCAGCTTCCTGTTTTAGGTCAGGCCTTGCCAGTCTGGTGCCTTTGGATTTCAGCTCCCATCCTTAGTGCTCAGCATGGCAAGTTCTGAGAGCTGCAGTCCAAAACACGTGTGGGGCACCAGGTCGGGGTAGGCGGGAACAAGCGATGGAGAGCACCCCCGTGTAGCCAAGGCCGAGGATGAATGAGAATGGTTGGGTTCTGGATACAGGCCCGACTTGAGATTTCTGGACTCTGTGTGGACTTTGCTGACACCGGTGCAAGGATGTGGTTGGAGATGGAATGTGAAAAACATGCAAATTGTGGCTTGCTTTATATGCAGAAATCTACTTGTTGGTTCACGTTGTATTTCAGGGAGCACAGCCTGGCCTGGCATCTGGACTGGAATGTGTGGGACTGAACTGGAGTCATCCATTGGATGTTGATCCTCCAGCAGCTGCCTTCACATCTGTACTCACCTGTGCCGTTGGTTCTTTTCATCGGATCATTGCGGCAAGGACGATGAGCAGGTGAGAGTTTGAGCTCCACCTTCAGGAGTTTCAGCTGTTCTTGTCAAAACCGAGCTTTGAATTGGAGCCACTATCTGGGATAAAGCCTCTCAGCTGACATGCTCTTGAAGGCCATGAGACCCAAACAGCTTGGACAGAGTGACTTCTTTAGAGTGGACAAACCAATGGTGCTCTGACATAGGAGGAGGGCAACTCGGTGACAAAGTCCAAGGCAGGAGCAGGGGCTGTGGATGTTCCATGGGCTTCCCGGGGGATTTCCTGGCACGCAGCCGGTTTCGTAAGATTGCTTGTTTTTCGCTCTGTGAGGTTTTGTGCCAGCAACATTCCCAGCCAACAGCGTGGATGGTCTTCTGCAGTTCAAAAGGGCATAGAGCTGTCAGTCGTGATTTTGCTGCAACGTTTTGGCCCTCGGGTCTCTGGAGGTTTGTACACGAATCAAGAATGCCAAGGAAGTCCCTCCGCAGAGACTGGAGTTAGTTGACTCCCCCCCCCCCCGCCCCCCATGGCTCCTGGAGTTTAACAGAGACGAACTGATCTTGTGCCTGTTTGGCTTTTGTCTCCTTCACTCAGGAAGGAAGCTCCTTGGTTAAGCCAGTGCCTTTGAAAATTAAATGTCCCTGTATAAACTATTCTACAAAGAAGGCCTGTGTGGGTGGATTCTTTCCTTCTACATAATGCAGCAAGATAAAACACCCTTTATTTGAGTTCTGGGTACATACATAATTTTAACATCCTACAGTGTAGGCTAACCGGAATCTCCTTAGCTCACTTTTGTATTTATTAATTTATTATATTTATACCCTGCCCATCACTCCAAAGGCTGTCTGGGTTGTTTACAAATGAAAACTACAATAATTAATATAAAATTCATGATATAATCCCAACAATGCAATTAATAAATACAATAAAGAAAAAGCAATAATAAAATAATTCATTTTCTGCCACTAAAGTTGAAACATTATCAAAGGTACAGTAAAAATATAGTAACAGATTATGATAAGTCTAACTATTAAAATTTTGGGAGAATAAAAAGATTTTCACTTGGCACCAAAAGGAGTAAAGAGTGATTCCTGGTTTTCTGTGCATGTCCAGGAGCCTGGAACTTGCCTAGAGGGGCAGGCAGAGTGAAACTCTGTAAGAACATCCTTCCTGCTGCCATCTCCTGTCCCTTCTGTATGCAGCTGGATTTTTATATGGGCAACTCTTAGGGATAAACTACAGGTGAGCATTACCATTAGTAAAACCTGGTTCCCTGTGCATGGCCAGAGACATTAGATTGGAGAGACAGAATGGGACGTCGGCAAGAATACCCCAAGAGCTTCTTTTCTGCAGACTGTCTGGAAGAAGGCATATTGTACCCCCACAATAAGGTTTGGGTTCAGTTTCAGCTTAGGGTTGGTGAAACCTTGGTACCAGTGCAGACTCAGTGTCTTGGAACTAGCTCACACTGGGCAGATATTATCCCTAAGGAGTGCACAGGTGGAGGACTGTCAGCTTGCTTTTCATTCGTTTTATGAAACTTGCTGTCTTGATCGATGGATTATATTTATATGCTGCCTTTTTCCTTTCATGTAACTCAGAGCTGCATACACCATTCTCCTTTCCTTCTCACCATCTTATCAATGACAACCCTGTGAGGGAGGCTGGGCTGAGAGTCTGTGACTGGCCCAAAGTCACCCAGTTGGCTCCATGGCTGAATGAGGACTTGAACCTGGGTCTCCTGGATGGCTAGTCCGGCACTCTCACCACCCCACCAAAGCGGCTCTCACCTCTGTCAGGATCAGTATGTTGCTTGTATAATGTGGGGGTGGGTGGTGGGCAGGGATAGTAAGAAGAATGTGGAGCAAGAAAAGAGGTCCTTGTGTGTGATTTCAGGTGACCACCTAATGCTTGCTTAACACAGCATGAAATCTGTGGAAACTGACTACCTAGATAATAAGTTACCAAGAAATTTTTACTGCCAAGTGTAAATAGGAACAAAAAAATAGAAATCAGAGCATTTAGCTATAATGAACTACACCTATAGCAGATGGCTGGCTAGATGCCATGTCTCTCCTCTCCCCGCCTGTTTTTTCCTTTTTCCTTACACATGAATTTCTGTGGAAATCTGAAATCCGATAAGGTGAATAGTATCAAAGCCAGTGCCAGGTCACCTGCCCATACCAAATAACATACTAACAGTCCGATTGGCTGTCCGAGTCCCACTGTTCTGTATCCCAACCTTCCAGGAGAACATATAAGCTTCATTCCTCTCCCTCCTCAGAACAATCTTCGCAGCGCTCATTGAAGGCATGGCTCAACCTTCCAAGGGACAACTGGTGAGTCTCATTTCTCTCTCTCTCTCAGGCTTTTGCCAAGAAACTCAGAACCTGGAAAAGAGTTGAGGTAGCAAATGAATGAAGGTGATGTGTTGGAGCGTGTGGTGATCAGGGATCTGGAGAAGCCACAGGGAAGCATGGAAACCTTAAACAGACCATTGATCCTCTCTGTTGCTTCAAAAAGCTAATCCTACCGTGCAAGAATTCCAGAACAGGTTCTAGATGACACAACAGACTCACCACAGTCACGTTAGGTTTGGGAGGAACCTTTTCGGCATCCAACCCTCCGGTAACCACTGCCTTGCTCTCATGCTTGGCCGGGTCCTGCAGAGCTGAGCCGAGGGAAGTCCGCAAACACTCGCAAGCTCCAGTTGTGCAGCCAGCAGTGCTCCCCCTCAGCCGCAGCTGCAGCATGCAGAAGAGGGGTGCTGCAAGTGGCCACACCAGGAGGCATTCTTGGCATCCCACCTTCTTCCTTGCCTGTTGCAGGAATCTGGGAAGTCAAGCCCAGGGAACGGTACAGATTCCTACCTCCCAACAGATTCCTCACACACAAGATATCACCATGGCTTCGTTCTTGTGTCATGTGAACCTGCCCACTTTCCATGAGCTGCCTCCTTTAGCAAGGCCACCTTCGCACTTCCATGGCCACCAGCACCCTCCCTTTCATCCTCACACTCTCCTGCTGCCGTGAGAGGCAGAGGTGTAGGATCAGGGAGGCCGTGGCATCCGCTCCTCCGCCTCACCACTGCTGCTGTCTGGGCCAGGGTGAGACACAGAACAAGCAGGTTGCAGCGGCAAAGAGGAAGAGCAGCTCCAGGAGAACCTGGTCCCTGAGCCCCTCCTGGGGTGCAGCACCTCAGCAGGTGCCCAATCAAACCTATCCTGGCTGCCAGGACATTTCACAGGCTCCTCTGGCTTACTGGTTTCTGCCTGAGGGCTGGAGCATCATATGCAACCCACACTGAATTGCCCAGCTGAACCCTAGTCAAGGCTGAGAGCCCCAGAACTATTTTCCTGGGTTCATGAGCCCACGGTGGTCTTTGCATGCCCTGAACAGCAGCTCCTTATCTCAAATGACTCTTCACTCCCCTCAACTCCCCCCACACCCCATGTGCATTTGAGTGCTCATTGTTAACCATCTGGATTCCACGTGTATTTCAAAGGAATTGACATCCAGTTCTGACCGCACTGCTTTTTAGAGGTGCTGCTGCTATTTGGAACTTGACCGCATTCCAGACTGAGGCACAGACACAGAGTTGTCTGTGCATTTCATTTTTGGCATCTTAGTTTCGCTTCCTATGGACCCATAGTGCTTGCCTCTTTCATGATCGGAATGATCACCTTCGAACTAAGACACCTGTGCCTTTACCTTTTTCCTTTTGCCAGGAGACCCCTCATTGTGTTGAGTTGCCAGATGGACTTAAAGCAGGGGATAAGCTGAAGATCCAGGGCTCGGTGCCCAAGGACAGTGTCAGGTAATCCCAAATAATTCCCCCAAATTCCAGCAGTTTACCTAGATTAGAATCTCCTGATGTTTCTAAAGGCAGCTTTCTTTTCGCAGGGATCCTGGAAATTGCTGCTTTTCAGGGGAAGTGATACTACTGGTTCATTTCTTTATCATACCTAGCATTTCAGAATGCCCCCAAACTTGGAACCTTTCACTGGTGACTGGACAAAACAGCAAGGGTGGTGGCAGGGAAGAAGACACAGAGACATGAGGACGGGGGACTTTTCTGAGCCTCTAATAGAGGGGTGCGCAATAGTTGTTGTCCCAAGCACCACATCTGGTGCTTCGAGCCTGCCAGGGTCCCCAGCAATCCACATACATGCCTTTAATGTTATTTTTGTATTTATTGTATTTTATTTTGTGTTGTGAGCCGCCCCGAGGCTTCGGCAAGGGGCGGCATAGAAATGTTTTAATAAATAAATAAATAAATAAATAATGACAAAGTGGGGGTAACGACCCGCCAAGTGGCTCTGGCACTCTCACTAGCAGTGTGGACACGGAGTGCTGGGGATTCTGGGTCACTGGGGCAGCGGTCTTGGGTCACCACCACCATAAATGGTGGCAAAGCAGATGCCTCAGAGGCAATGGAGTTGCTGGCAGCAGAAGGGGCTGGGGGGCTGGGGGGTGGCACCACAGAGCTTGAGTTTTGCACCCTAGTGCTATCTCCCTGTGTTCCTCTCCTAGGTTCATTTGCAAACTTGATGACTGGACACCTGTAAAATAAGATCATGAATTATGGTGTGTAGGTAGACATTCTGTATGAAGGAAGATCCCAGATGCACACCTTACGCATCAGTCACAGCTTTCTCTCTGTTTTAGCTTCATGGTGAATTTCCTCTGCGGGAAGGAGGAGAACACAGACAATGCTTTGTTGGTGTTGGTCAAGTTGGAAGCCCCTAGTGTGGTTGTGCTGAACAGCTTCCTGAACAAGACCCTTGGCGAGAAAGACAAGTACACCAACGTTCCTTTTGCCAGAGGGCAGGACTTTGAGCTGGAGTTTGTTGTTGAAGAAGACATCTACAAGGTATGGAAAGGGCTGGGGTTCATGCTCAATCACAGAAATAACATAGCTTAAAGCAAAATTCTGTATACATCCCCAAATGTTACAAAATTTTAATACCACCGCGAATATCACACTTGGACTTAGAAAAATCAGATAGAGGGCAAAACTCCTAACAATACACCACACGGGTAGGTTGCACACTTTCAGCAGATTGATTCCCACATATGAAGACATGCAGATTCACAATACTAAGATCCCAAACACAGATCGCCACATCTAGAACTCCTCAGTGAGAGAGAATAGAGAGCTGAAGGATCATTCCGGCCCTGGGCTGCAGTCTGCTGGACATGCCTGCACCCCGCCGAACTTTAAGGGGTGCAGGCATCCTATGAAGGAGCACAAAGCTGAAGGCTGCCTTCACACTCCTCTGCCCCACAAGCAAGTCTGTGGCCACTTCTGGATGTCTAAGTGCTGCAGTTCAGAACAGGAGAGAAGGAGGCTAAGATACCACCAGGATAGTTCACGTCTTGGTGGCCCTGGTCTGTTCCCCTCCCTGTGCATAGGCAAGCAGTGGCCAGCCCGAGTGGGTGGATGTGGCCCAAGCACAGGAAGTTCTTCGCTTATAAGGCTGTCGTCTTCAGCTCAGTGGCTCACCGCAAGAGCGACCCCACATAATTCCAGCACTTGTTGAGCATGGAAAGCACAGACTTGCTAAGCCAAGCAAGCGGTAGTTCCTGATTCCTGCCTTTAAGCCAAGCCCAGCTGTGTTGGAGCTGCTTCAGCCTAAGGCCATCAAGAAAGCAAGTCAACCTACAGGATGTCCAGAGGGAATGAGGGTTCTCACATGCTCCCAGGGCTTCGAGAGGAAAGCATCTCAAATCCACAGAGCAGATATGATTGCTTCAAAATGCTCCTGGCTTCGAGCATTTGAATTGGGGAACTTTTGTTTTAAATGTTTGGACTGATTGTACATAGTCCTGAGAGGTTTCACTATAGAACAGGATATAAAATTTTAAATGGATGGATTGGTGAATGGGTGGGTGGGTGGGTGGATGCAATCAATAGCTTCAGTGCCTACAATTTTTTTGCTCTAGTTGCTGGTAGATGGCAAGGAATTCTGCCAGCGCAAGCACCGCATCCCAGCCGAGAAGGTGCACTTCCTGCAGATCGAAGGCAACGTGAAGCTCACGGCCGTGGATGTGAAGCTGCAGAAGGAAGAGCCCGTGGTGCAGGCACGCTCCATGATGCTCCGCTGTGCGCCGGCCCCCATGACCTGCTCACCATGCATGTCCTGGTACTGCTGCAGATGCTGTTGCACACCTTGCCGCTGCTGCCGTTGCCCCCGCTGTTGCTGCTCGCCCTGCCGTTGCTGTTGCTGATGAGACGGCTCAGCTGGAGCAGTGGCGCCAGCGGTGGCTCCGTGAACCCGCCTCTTGCTGCCCGTGCCGCCTCAGGAAGCAGAATGCGTGCGGGTGCTGCGGGAGAGGCCGTGCTCGTGGGTCGTCTCCTGCTTCTTGCTTTGCTCAACACCAAACCGAATGACGTGCATCGCTTTGCAGTCGGCAAAGGAACAGCGCTTCTTGCTTTGCTAAACATCACAACTGATTAAAGTGTGTTGCTCAGCATTGGTGCTCGTGTTATTCTTTTGGGGGAGGGGCAGGGGGGTTGTCTCAGGAAGTGTTCCGGGGAGAGGAAGTCTGAGAGCAGGCCTGGGAAACCTTCATCCTGCAGACAGATGCAGCCCACATCTGTGGGACGTGGCCCCTCCCAAAAGGCAGCCTCCCCGGCTGGTTGGCTTGATTTCTGGTTCAGTGAAAGGAGGAGGAGTGGGATTCTTGGCTGGCTGGCCAAGTCCATTGGACCCAGAGAGAAGCCAGGCAGTCTCTGATCATGGGGCTTTTCCTAACTGTGTGGGGAAAGTTTGTGAACAAGCTGATGCGGGAGCGGGTGGCCCCAGCATCAGTGGTTTGATCATTCAGTGTCCATGCAAGCGAGTGGGCCAACTGGGAAGAATCAGACATTCCGGGTGACTGGCTGATAAGCAGCAGGGTCCCCCTTGCAGGTGGAGCCAGTTCCTTTGTGGCAGCATGAAGGGGAGGTATTCTGCTGGAATGCATTGAGCCATCATTCCCTACAGGCCAGTAGCCTAACTTGGCCTGTTTCCTCTGATTATTTAGTTAGAGTTTTTGTATGCCGTCCCATCGCTTAATGCCTTGGGATGGCTTGATCTCGGGACGGCACTGATCTTGACTTCTTCAGTGCCTCACAAAGCTTGCGTGTCATTTCCTTCACCCAAAATCCAAGCCCCTTGGTTCACGTTACTGCCGTTTTAAAATGAAGTGTTTCTGTAAAAAATACATTGCACAAATAAGGCTGGTGTGGGTGCATTCTTTCCTCCCCCATAATACTGCACCCAGGTTTGTGAGAGAAATACCCACCTATTTGTTCTGAGTTCCAGGTGCATTCAGGATCAAAACATCCCACAATGTGGCGTAACTGGAATCTCCCAGCTCACATTAGACACTGTAACTGACCCCAGAGTAGTCCTACTGACTCATTCTCCTAGGGCAGTGCCACAAAGTACCCCTGCTAAAGTGACCCCAAATTTCAGTTTCTCACCTCTTACATGTTTCTTAATTTAAAAAATTCCCAGGGCAGAGAGCACCCCATAGCCTCCATAGCAAAAGGTATGAGGGTCATTTTTATACCCCAAACAGTAGTTGCCCAAAAGGGCACATGCAAGATTCAATATAGATCCTTTCAGTATCATTTTAAAGCCACGATTCCCAGCTAAACTCTCAAGCAAACGGAATTAAAATCCAGTGAGAGGAAGCCATGCCCTAACAGGTTTCTCCTGTTGTTCTTGCCTTCTCTGCTCTGCCCAGCTGAGGGTGGAGTAATAAACTTTGCGGGTGATGCTACATGACTTTGACCAGAACCCTCTCACCCCTGAGGGCCTCAGTGGGGGGAGGGGCTGGGGTGGGATCTGTAAGGCATCCATTAGGGAGTGGGAATTCTCTGGGATTGGGCCCCGAGCCCAAGTTCCTGGGGAGCACGCCCCGTGTTAGAAGGCGCTTGCCAGCCATGGAGGCCCTTGCACTGTGCAGGCAGCTCCCCTGTTCCACAGCATATTTATTTATTTATTTTTCAATTTCTATCCTGCCTTTTTCCTTCAAGGGGCTCAAGGCAGCTTATATCATTCTCCTCCTCCATCTTATCCCCACAACAAGAACCCTGTGAGGTGGGTTGGGCTGAGAGTCTGTGACTGGCACAAAGTCACCCAGTTGGCTCCATGGCTGAGCGGGGACTAGAACCCAGATCGCCTGAGTCCCAGTCCCAGCTCTTGACCACTGCACCACCCTGGCTCTCATCTCTAAGAGCTCCCTGGGCTGGGTCGAGATGCTTGGATAGCAGCCAAGGGACAGGATACCCCGGGTCAGCCAGGAAAGACCCCTTTCGCCTTGAGCCTCATCAGTTTTACTGAAAGATCACCCAGGCCCCCTGCATTCACTTTCGACAGCATGCTCCCCGGTAGTGGTTCTCACCGCCAAGTACAAAACCACAGGCCATGTACAGACATTTGTATAACCTGCCGGTCAAATACAGAGGATTAGGTTTCCAGATAATGTTAACATAATACTGTGTTTCCCTGAAAAAAAGACCTTACATTAAGGTCTTATATTAATTTTTGCTCCGAAAGATGCATTAGGGCTTATTTTCAGGTGGTGTCTTTTTTTCCCTTACGAAAGTCATAAGATTCTTGCCCCAAGCGTCCTCCATGGTTCCTTTCTTGTACTCAACGGAATGGCTCTTTCTTTTTGCACTCATCTTGTCTGGGGGTCAAAATATTAAAATAAGCCAGGACAACTTAATTTATATTGTTTTATATTATATTATGTTATTTATTTATGTTTGTGAGCCGCCCCAAGGCTTCGGCGAATGGGGCAGCATAGACGTTCCCTAAATAAATAAACAAACAAACAAATAAATAAAATTATTCCCTTTAAATCTACCATTAAATCAATTGTTAATTGAAGACTTCTGAGACAGGAGTGGCAACACACAAGCGCATTAAGTATGTCCGTTACAACACACAACGTATTTAATTCTGAAGCATGTCCGTTCGTTATCAAGTGCGCACGTTATTTGTGTGTTGCGTCTGTACTCTGATAGGTCATTTGGCACTCTGTATTTAGCATTTGAATTTGGCAACTGGTATTTTGCATTCAGAAAAAATGGGTTTGAGGGGAAGACATACTCCAGGAATAGATCTGTGGAGCTGATTTCTGGGACAAAATGCAGAATTTCAGACAATGTAACTTTCATTGTTCCCTTATCACCTGCGTGTATGCACCCATTTCTAACCAGTAAACAAGCAAACATACTTTCACTTACTCTTTCAACTTTGCCTTATCAGGGACCACAGTCTTCTGAAGCCTGAATTCAGAGAAACTGTAATTCAGAGAAACTGTTTTATAGTGTTCTTATCTTACACTGGCACAAAACAATCTGAAGGGAGGTATTATTAGATTAAACCAGAGCTACAAATGTATTAATGCTTATCATGGAAAATGTGCAAGGATATGAAACGACAGCGAAAATTTCACTGGGGCTGCAGCAGGAGCCCCGAAGCATCCCCCATTCTGCCCACAACCTGAGCTGAGCTTCTGCTTCTTGGTGCCCAAAGCTCTGAGCTGCAGCTGGTGCGTGCAAGGAGCTACTCCGCAGTGAGCGAACTGCAGGCCGAAGATGGACGCTGCTGGTGGCCATGTGGGGAACTGTTGCTGGCAAGCCCCGTGCCTCCAGCCTCCTTCTGAGTCAGGTGAAGCAGGCACATAACAGGGTGGAGAGGTTAATGACGCCAGCTCCAGGTTGGGGTAGGTGAGAGGCTCGATCCTGAAGCCTTTCAGAGCAACAAAGGGGCTCTGGATACAGCAGCTCCATGGCCACACCTGGCCCATCCCTGAAATGCCCCATTCAGCAGCCGCACACCTGTAGGAACACACCTAGCAGATGATCTGCCCAGCTTAGCTGCCTGAAGGTATAACTGGGGCCTCTTGCCTGGACTTGCTTCTCCTGTGGGTGGAGAGGCCCCTCTGCTCTGCTAAATCCCTCCAGATATCAGACCTGCATGCCATGACTCTAGTTACTCTGGTTACATGGGGAACTTGACCGATGCCCATGGCAGTTCCATACCTGAGTACGGAACCAGATACAGATCCACGTGCAGGGACATCATCCTGTGAATGCCAATTGTTTTGCCCTCATAGAACAAAGGGGCTGTGTTTCACCTGTGCAGTTCTGCTTGGCTTGGGATGACAAGACGACACAAAAGACCTCTCCCAACCACAATCTGCCTGGACGCTTCACTTAGCATCTGAAGCCTTCCTTTGATTGCCACCTCCCAGCAACATGATTGAAGCTGGAATTAAACAAAGCCCTGGTGGCCAGAAGCTAAATTCACTTTCGAATACATGCCATTCTGTAGGGAAAAAGTCGAGAGCTTTTAAAAGTACAAATAATAAAACAAGATTTGGTAGCCCCTTTCATGCCTGCCTGTGCCAAGTATAAGGTACGTTTCACAAATAAGAGGGAGCAAGGAATGCCAGAAGGACCAGGGACTGACGAGGCCGCCTTTAATGGCCTCCTTGCTTATCCAGGGGCCGAAGGGGATTCTCTTGGCGATTCTTCTTCTTGCTGGGTCGTTTTAGGGAATGTTAAGCTATTTAAAATTCTTCTAACATCGTTGTTTTATGTTATTTGTATTGCATTTTATTGTTTTGTTTTATTCATTGTTGTAAACCACCCAGAAAACTTTTGCTATGGGGCAGCATAGAAATGAAATATGATGATGATGGTGGCCCATATAACACTAATTCTCTTTGAACTGCACCAGCTACTAGTTGAACCCTGGGCCCAATTTAAAGTGCTTGTTTTAACATGTACAGCCCTACATGGCTTAGGACCTGGCTACCTGACGGACCACCTTCTCCCATCTATGCCTACCTGACCATTAAGATCTGGCCTTCTGAATGTGCCATCCCTCAAGGAGACGAGAGGGGTGGTATATAGAAGGGTCTTTTAGGTGACTGCGGCCCCCATGGACTTGGCTCCCCAGAGAACTCCTGGTGCCGAAAAACATTCCTCTGCTCCACCCATTGTAATAATTTTAATAACTGATTTTAATAATAGGATTTTAGGTATTTATATTTTAATATTTGGTTGCCTATCTCACCTGGACATGTTTCTTGAAATTGATCTGGTCTATATTAGTATTATTATTAATCAGTTATTTTTAATGAAAGCTGGTCAAGTTGAATTGTTGTATGCCACCGAGGGAGCTCACTTGATCTGTTTGGCAATGCATAAATATAAAAATAAACTAAACAATAATATTCACATCCTGTTTTGTCTGACCTCCTGAGTACTCTGCTACAAAGGCAGGTTCTCACACAACCTGCTTTGCTTCAGTTTCTACTCCACCTCTACTGTCAGGTTGTTCATTTGTGAAACATCTAATAAGGAAATATGGCTTTCTCTTTCATCAAGGCCATGGCCAAGGTATTTATTTATTTAGTTATTTATTTGGAATTTTTGTATGCCATCCCATTCGCATAAGCCTCCGGATGGCTTCCAACATTATAAATAAATACACATATAAATACATACATATAAAATCTGGATACATCCTGGCTCAATATTGAAACCAATAAATAAAATCAACAGTTATTAAAATATCATTTTAATAAAAAGGTCTTGGCCTGGCGCCGAAAAACAAATAACGACAGTGCCAGGCGGACCTCTCTGGGGAGTGCATTCCATAAGTGGGGCGCTACCACCGAGAAAGCCCTCCTCCAAGTACTTACCCTCCTAATTTCCTTCACTGAGGGTTCCTGGAGAAGGGCCTCTGCCACCAATCTCAAGGGGCAGGAGGGCAAATATGGATGCAGGCATTGCTTTAAGCCAACCAACTTGGGAAGTTATGCAAATATGCACGTATCATTCGAATGCTCTACATTCCCTGTGCTTTCTTCATGCAAAGAAACTGCCCCAGTGTAACAGACTGGCCTGGGAATTTGCAGCTGCTTCAGGAAGTGAAGAGGATGAAACAATGCTACTAAATATCACAAGGCTCATGGGATCTTGTGGATCTTTCCGTGACTCGAGAAGGAAGTCCTTGGCACCATAACTTGGCTCTTAGAAGCCTCCTGCAAGTGGCCCTGGAAAGATGTGCTGCCATTGCACTTCTGAATGAACGGTCATTCTGGGGATGTGCCAGGGTGGATTGATGGAGGCTTTGGATTCACCTCAGCCAAAGCCCTTCCTGGTAAACGGGAAGACAAATGAGTGAGGGGCACAAAAGCTTTACTCCTGGAAGCTTTTCTCTGGAAACGGTAAGAGTGCCAGCTGCTTCAGGAAAATGAGTAAACTCCAGGGCTGAGATTCTCTATGGAGCTGCTCCCTGCTCCACCCACCTCCCTGCTTCGGAAACATTATCTGAAGCAAATGCTGTGCACTTTGGAACAGCAGTGGCCCTTTAGTAGACAACAAGAGAAATTTGTTCAGTGAATTTTAAGGAGAACTCACCCAATTTCACTTATCTTCACCCAATTTTGAACCACTATGCACACATCAAAATTTGCTCTTTTCCACATTTTGTAATGGTGATCTCCAATTATATAAGCCACCCAGAGAAGCCACCTGGAGAACCTTCGGGTTATGGGGCAGCATAGAAATGGAATTACATAAATAAATATTTATTTATTTATTTATTTATTAAAACATTTTTATGCCGCCCCATTCGCCGAAGCCTCGGGGCGGCTTACAACATAGATAAAACAAGTTAAAATCCATATAAAATAATCTTAATTAAAACACACATTATAAAATAAGCCGCCCTGGCCAGATAAAATTCAATTGTATTTAGCATTTAAAATGTTGCTTAAATAAAAAGGTCTTAGCCTGGCGCCGAAAAACAAATAACGACGGCGCCAGGCGGACCTCTCTGGGGAGCGCATTCCATAACTTAGGCGCCACCGCTGAGAAAGCCCTTCTCCGAGTAGCCACCCTCCTAATTTCTCTCCCGGAGGGCTCCCGGAGAAGGGCCTCTCCCGCCGATCTCAGGGGGCGACTGGGCAAATATGGATGTAAGCGTTCCTTCAGGTAACCAGGACCCAAGCCGTTTAGGGCTTTATAGGTCATTACCAACACCTTGAATTGGGCCCGGACTTCAATGGGGAGCCAGTGAAGCTGACGGAGAACTGGCATCATGTGAACATAACGTCCAGTCCCCGTCAGCAGCCTGGCAGCTCTATTCTGAACCAATTGAAGTATCCGGACCGCCTTCAAGGGTAGCCCCACGTAGAGCACGTTACAGAAGTCAAGACGGGAAGTCATCAGCGCATGAGTCACTGTTGCAAGGCAGTCGTACTCCAGGTAGGGGCGCAGCTGATGAATCAGCCGAAGCTGGAGGAAAGCGCTCCTCGCCGCTGTTGTCACCTGAGCTTCAAGTGAAAGCTCCGGGTCGAGGAGCACTCCCAAGCTGCGGACCTTGTCCCTAGGAGGGAGTGCAACCCCATTCAGGACAAGGTTCAGGTCACCTTCTCCGAAGCCCGAACCGCCAACCAACAGGACCTCCGTCTTGTCTGGATTGAGCTTCAGTTTATTGGCCCTCATCCAGCCCATTACCTCGGCCAGGCACCGGTTCAGTACAGCCACTGCCTCACCTGGATTGGTGGAAAACGAGAGGTAGAGCTGGGTATCATCAGCATACTGATGGGTCCGCAGCCCACACCTCCTGATGACCTCTCCCAGCAGTTTCATGTAGATATTGAACAGTAAAGGGGACAAAATGGAACCCTGCGGTACCCCATGGCAAAGCTGCCATGGCGCAGAGCCATAGTCCCCCAACACCACCTTCTGGAATCGGTCGTTGAGATAGGAGCGGAACCACCGCAAAGCGGTGCCTCCGACCCCCAATCCCGCCAGCCTATCCAGAAGGATACCATGGTCGATGGTATCGAAAGCCGCTGAGAGGTCCAGGAGAACCAACAGGGACGCACTCCCCCTGTCCTTCTCCCTGCACAGGTCATCGTACAGGGCGACCATATAATGGACACAGAAATTCATACAGTAGTAGAAATTCATTAACATCTTTATATTAGTAAATTACTTGCCAGAAAATCCTGTATTTAGCAAAAAATGCATACAAAGGTGAAAATATCAGGAAAATGTCCACAAATTTCCTTATGAATTTTCATGATTTTTTTTAAAAATATTAACATTCAACTTGAACTGAGGACTGGAAAAATGTGAAACCCAATGGTCAGATTGTCTTTCTTCACATTTTGGTAGGTTCCTTTAGGAAAAGCAAGAGCTCAAACATATCCAGAGGAGGGAAGACAGACCCTGACCCTGCTGTGGGTCCGATAGCGATAGCCAAGTAGCAAGAACATCATGGAGTGGGAGCAAAATGCATTTTAATTAATTTTGGTGTCCCTGGAGACCTGATAGAAAGACAAATCAGCGGGTCTTAGATCAAATCAAGCCAGAACAATCCTTGGAAGCAAAGACGTCATACTTCAGACACATCATGAAAAAGCAAGACTCATTGGAGAAGAAAATAATGTTTGGAGAAGTTGAAGGCAGAGGGAGAGGGGGAAGCTCAGATCTGAGATGGATGGGTGGATTCAGTGAAGGACGCCACCTCCTTGAGTTGACCAGAGCTAAACAGGGCTGTCAAGGAAGGGAAATTTTGGAGGGCGTCCATTCATAAGTTGCCTGAAGTCAGCACATAACAGGGCAACATAAGTTGCCCTGACAGCACATAACAGCAACGAGAGATCAGCATGCATTTGAGCGGAGTGATAGGAAGGGAAAGAGCATCATAGATGTCTTCGGCAGAGATACAATCTCTCTCTCTCTCACACACACACACACAGAGAGATTCTGCCAGGGCTGTGCAAAAGGGAACTCATGAGAAAGACATTCCATGCAGTGAGGTGTGAATGATCCATGAAGAGGTTAAATGCTGGGTGGAGCCCTTCTGCCCAGCCCTGTAAAATGATAATCCCATGCCTGGTGGGAGCAGCGTGTGCAAGGGGCACGTTTCAGAGAGTTTCCTTCACCTGAAGAAAGGAGAGGAGGTGATTCTGAGCCAGGTACTGATGTCTGTAGAGGGGAAAGTGGTATTTATTTTAACAGTTTGGAGGCCTCTGAATTTTGATGCGAACGGAATGGACCTGAGGAAGAGGCAATTTTATTACTTGGTTTATCCTCCAAGGATGCAACAGAGGCTGAGGGGAAGCCAATACCAGTGAGTCCCTGCTGGGCTCCCTAAGTTAGCATGCTGCTCTCAGGGAGGGTGAATGAAGCTACAGCGTTGCCACTCTTGAAGTAAAGCTCAGCTGAAAGTCCTTCTATCATCTCGTTCATGGAAGGGAGGAGACAGGTAACTTTTTGACAATCACGTCAGACAGCAAAATGTCTGGAGCCAGCCTTCTGCTTTGGAGTAACACCCAAATGCAAGTAGATAGCCTCCATTTTTAGACACTCTCTTCCTTCTCCTCCTTTATACTAATATGTATCAAGGCCATTTTGATGCAGAAGGTTGTTTGATTTTGTAAGGTTTTAAGCTACCTTGAATATTTGGGAGACATCCGGGGTGCTGAAAAATAAGGAAGTGAATGTAGCTCTTATACACCAAATGGTACCACAGAAATTTAGAAATGGCCAGGAGGATCAGCTCAATCTAGTCCAACAATTGTATTTCTAATGGTTGCTAAGCAGATCCTTCCAAGAACTTTGCAAGCATGAAGGAAGCAGATTTTCCCATCACTAGTTTGCACCTGATATTTAAGGACAGAAGGGATCTAAAGAAGACACCTTATTTGTTAATAGACAAATGTATTTGTCTTTTTAGGCAAGTTATAGGGCATGTGTTTGCTGCAAGAAGATTGTGATGTCAGTGCTTATTATCTCTTCTTTTATAATAGCTTCTGTATAGCCTGAAGTGCCAGATCCTGCCTAATCTTGGAAGCTAAGCAGGGTTGGGCCTGACTGAAATCCGGATGGATGGCTTAAATGTTGTGATTTGGCTATGGGCTGTATAGGAAATGTAATAATTTTAAAAATACAATTTCTGCTAAGCCTGGTTGGAGTTGGATACAACTGAAACAGTATTTTATTTAAAACTTCTGTATGATTCATACAAAAATTGCTGTGGTGTGCTTTTTGAAATCCAGTCTGAAGTTTCTGAGTTTAGTCCAGATACCACAAATCACTCTGCCTCTTAACTATGGAATTCATACTGTAATTGGTCTTTAAATACAAGGTGTGTTTCCTTGAAAGCCTGCTAACAAAATGTCTGACCTGCGAACATTAAAATGCAGCATGATGCAAAAAATGTTATTTCTATACATAGAAACATAGAACAGTGGAGTTGGAAGGGGCCAGGAAGGCCATCTAGTCCAACCTGCTGCTGTTGCAGGACACCACGTTACACCACCCCACTCAGGTGGCTGCCCAGTTTCACCTTGAATGTCTCTAGTGTGGGAGCGCCCCCCACCTCTCCAGGCAGCTGGTCCCACTGCTGTGTTGCTCTCACAGTGAGGAAGCTTTGCCAGATATCTAGCCTGAACCTGGGTTGTCACAGCCTGACTTGATTATTCTGTGTCCTGCACTCTGGTATGAGTGAGAAGAAATCTTGATCTTCCTCTTTGTGGCAGCCTTTGGGGTTCTTACAGAGTGATACCACATCCCCCTCAGTCTTCTCTTCTCAAGGCTGATCATGCCCAGTTCTCTCCATCCCTCCTCATAGGGCAGTGCTTCCAAATCTTGGATCATTTTTGTTGCCCTCCACTAGACGCTTTCTAATTTACCTGCATCTTTCTTTAATCTTGGTGCCCAAAACTGGACACAGTATTCCAGGTGAGCTCTGACTAGTGAAGAGGATAGATAGATAGGTAGATAGGTAGATAGGTAGATAGATAGATAGATAGATAAAAATTGTATTGAGGTCAAAGACCAGCTCCATTCAATAAATACATAGATTTAAAAAAGCAAATACATAAATCATTATATTAAAACCCCACTAGGATTAATAAATACTTCAACACAATATCAGCATCTTAAATCAGTGACAATCCCATACTTTGTCCTTGTCCAACTAGGAAGGGCCACACTCCCTCAGGATCTGTCTTCAGACACCCATCGTGGCCGCGAAGAATTTAGCGACACTGAATGTTATTGTTGGGTTAGTGTCAGACAGCAACATATAGATATACTGTTGTTCTGTACGGCCCGGGAAGCGATTCATCAGTGGGGAAATGAGTGCAGTGCGAATATCCCTGTAGAATGTGGACCTCAGCAGGACGTGCTCTGTGGTTTCCGTCTCTTCCTTACCACAGGGACAGGGCACTCTGACCAGGGGTTGAAGAATACAGAGGAACTACCATTTCTCATGATTTGGAAGTAATACCTCTGTTAATCCATCCCAAAATAGCATTTGCCCTTTTGGTGACTGCATCGCATTGTTGGCTCATGTTTAGCCTATTGTCCACAACTACTCCGAGATCTTTTTCTTTTTCTGTTGAGCCACGTATTCCTCATCTTGTCTAGATGCATTTGGTTTCATTTTCCTAGATGGAGGACTTGGCACTTGTCCCTTTTGAATCTCATTCTATTACTTTCAGCCCAGCATTCAAGTTTATCAAGATCACCCTGGATCTTGCCTGGCAGAAGAATTTTGCCTTCTAGGGTGCTTGCTATTCCGCCCAGTTTTGTATTGTCTGAAAATCTGATTATCTTTCCTTGTATTTCCTCATCTAAATCATTAATGAAGATGTTGGAGAACACTGGGCTCAGGACTGAACCTTGCGGCACCCCACTAGTTTCCTTCATCCAGTTGAGAAGGTGCCATTGATGAGCAGTCCTTGTGACCGATTTAGCAGCCAGTTTTGAATCCACCCAAGATTTCTATTTAGTCCACTGTGTGCTAATTTGCTTATCAGAATGTTCTGTCACACTCTGTCAAAAGCTTTGTTAAAGCCTAGGTAGATTATGTCCACACTGTTCCCTCTTTCCATTTGGGAGGTTACCCAGTCAAAAATGAGATTAAGTTAGTCTGACAGGATTTATTTTTGATAAATCCGTGTTGGCGTCTATTAATCACTGCATTTTCTTCAAGATGCTTGCAGACTGATTTTTTAATAGTTTTCACCAAAATCTTTCCAGGGATTGATGTCAGACTAACTCATCTGTAGTTCCCAGGTTCATTCTTTCCCCACTTTTTAAAGACAGGGACGTCAGCCCTTCTCCAGTTGTCTGGCACTTCTTCCAAGATGTATTGAAGGTAACAGCCAGTGGTTCCGAGAGCTCCTCTGCTCACTCTTTTATGGCCCTGGGTTGGAGTTCATTGGGCCAGGGAGATTTGAATGTGTTTACTCTACCTATATATTCCTTGACCATTTGTCTGTCAGTCTTGGGCTGCCATCTCTCACTTTCAGCTTGTACTTCCTCTTTGTAGAATTTCTTATGGAAGAAGGCTGAGGCCAAGTAGGAACTGAGCACCTCTGCCTTTCCTTGTTCTCTGTTATCACTCTGCCATCCACTTTAACTAGCTGGACGCCTTTCTCTTTCTCATGTCTTTTGTTCTGGATGTATCTGAAGACGGCTTTCTTGTGTGCTTAGCATCCCTTGCTATTCTCAGTTCACTTCCTGCTTTAGTCTCCCCGATGCCACCCCTGCAATCCCCTGATATTTGTTTGTGCTCTGACTTTGTGGCCTGGTCCTTCTTCCATTTCCTGGACATGTTGTTTTTCTCTTCCAAGCTATCCCTTTTTTGTGGAGCCACATGGGCTCCCTCTGCTGTCTTCTACATTTTTTCTTGTTCGAATTGTTCATAATTGTGCTTGGAGAATCTTCTTTTCCAAGATTTCCCACCCCTCTTCTGTGTGTCTATGTTTACTTTGACCAACACTTTTTCTTCCCAAGCTTGCTTTTCTCCTCCAATTCAACATCATAACAAATTGCACTAAGAAAGGCCTCATCTTCTTTCTAGACAGGTTTCATCGGCTAAGGGCACGATCCTATTTCCCGCAGCATTGTATGGGAACCCTTAGGTTTCTTTGCAGTCCCAGGGCTGACTCCCTGCTCTGTCCACTTACAGCCAAGGTGAATAAGGCCATTCCGATTGCCTTTCCAAGATGCAGCTGGATCTTGGAGGGAGGAAAAGGATCTGGATGGTCAAGATGAGCTGTGTAGAGAATGCAGGCTATGAGGGGAAGCAGTGTTGCCGATTGCCACTGTTGTCTCCTGTGGCTTGCGCTGGAGAGCCATAAACTGACTCCAGCAGTTTATTGCACTCTAATTATGCTACTGGGCAGAAATGAAGAATAACCTGAACTGTTTTGCAACTGCGATAACAAAATGTATTCGCCAGGTGAGTAAAAGATTATATGATCCACGAACGGAATGGCTCATCAGAACAAAACCCATGTCTTAAGCAAGGCATTATGGCCCCATCGGCCTATCTTTTTCTACAAGGAAACACGATGTCTGTTACTTTTATTGATCATTTCCTATCAGTGCCTATGACGCTAAAGCTGCTGCTGCTGCTGAGTGGGCAAAGAGGACACAGTTCACAGAGGCCTAGTCCCGGCCGGTCTCTGCACATGAGGGCAGTGTAGCAGAGGCTGCTGACATCTGCTGGAGGCTGCTCCACATCAGAGGCTGGGCTCTTGGGTGGTGTGCGCATAGGCTGGGCACTGTGCATGCCAACAGAAGCTGCAGCAGGTGTAAAATGGCCTCTCCGTCCCTCTTCCTCAGGTATATTGCAGTGGTGCTGAGCAACTGTAGACTTTACAGATGGCTACAATCAATGTACTGCATGTTGTTGCGGTGGCCAGCTCCCTCATCAGCCTCTTGATCCTCCTCATTGCTTTGGGCTCAGACTACTGGGCAACAGCTGGTGCATTCAGCCAGGGCTTATGGAATATTTGCGATGGCACGACATGTGTAAAGTTGCAGGTGTCTTCAGGTAAGACATTTCCAATCCTGAGATTCAAGGAATTGCAGCGTGGTAACTGGGAACACCAAGGCTTATACACACTGGGAGGAAGTGTATGACTCTTTAACCCCTTGGCAGACCAGTGTGACTTGAGATAACCCCACCATCTCCCTTAAAGGTGGTGCATTGACCTGTCTGTTGAGGAACGCCTGCTTCTCACCAACACCTTTCTGCATATTGCAAAGGATTCTGGGAGGGTTCTCATACACTTACCCAGTTCACACTGGCCTTGGCAATCCTGTTGGGTCTCTCTTTCACCTCATGTCCTAGGACACACCCCACACTTCTGTGGAGCAGTGCATCACTGGAGACTTTTGATGGTGGTGGGTATGCTATTTTTCAGAGAGGCTACTGCACCCCAATGGATGTTCTTGTTCTTCTCACAAGCTTTGAGACCACCTATGATTCCACAGGATTCCTGTTACATGGGACTCCTGACCTTTCCTTCTCCCACACTGGTTGGGAACTGGGCAGGGATGAGTGTTCCGAGGCCATATTTTGGTGTGCTTGGTGGGCTTCAGAGTACAAGGCAATCCAGTCCCAAAGTCCCTGCTCTTGCTCCTTCCCCCATCTGCCCAAAGCTGATGGCAGAGGTCAAACGCTTGGGGCTGAGTTCTAACAGAACTCACAAAGTGATCATCTTCGATGAAAGATGTGAGAAGGCATTAATGGAAGGCTGGATGGAAAGATCTTACACTACAAGGACTGTGAAAGCCCTACTAAATGGTATTTACATTGTCTGCTGCATCTTGCATTAATGCTCTACATCTGTTGACAGTTGAGAGTCCTTCCAATCTGGCTTCCAGACTCACATTCTTACTGAAGCTGCCTCGGCAACCTTACTATGCTGATTTTTACCAAAAGAAATTCATGCAACCTGAGAAAAGCTGGCCTACAGCAGAATCCATGAGGTGGATTCAAAGACATCTTCACTCATTTGCCTCTGTTGCAGATTTCTCTGACTTCCCTAGTCATATCCCCTCCAGACAAGCAGGTCCCTGGCTCAGTGAAATTCCACTGTTCCTAAACCCAGCTCTGCTGCTAGATAAGCAGATGGATGCACTTGTGAGGGGCATTTTCCAGAGAACTTCTATAAAAGAAGTTTTGCAGAATGGCTTTTAACAGCAAAGCAGGAAAAGCTGCATGGGGAACCACACCAGCCACCAATCTTTGTGTGTGAGAGAGACAGAGAGAGAAAGGGCCCCAGTTTGGTATGGAAAATAAATTACTGGGTTTCACATGTGCTCTGAAGCATCCTGGTCTAAGCACACAGCAGGTCTCCGGGGCCTATTTTACCTTTGGCTCTGGTCAGTGAAAAAACAAATGAAACAAAGCCCTGAAATCTGCCCGTTCAATGGGTGTGTTTAGCAAGTTTAGTGGGATTGTTGTCACAATTGCTGTAATGGCAATCAAGTAAAAGATGTTAGCTGACAGGGCAGTCTGACTACCTTCTGTAGCTAATGGGTCCTGGGTTGTCTAGGGATTGTCTCCTTCCATATGATCCGTCTCGTGTGTTCTGGGGAACGTTCTCCCCACTAGGCCCATCTGGCATCTGCTTTACTATCTTTCTGGGACCAGCTTAAGACTGGCCAATTCCAAATAGCACCTTGGGGGTATTGTCAGCGACTTATTTTATATTGTTAATTTGTTTTATATTTTTAATGTATTATATTTTAATTTATGTGGTGAGGCGCGCCGAGGCTTCGACGAATGGGGCGGCATAGAAATGCTTTAAACAAACAAACAAACAAACAAACATCCGCAGGTCTTCTGGCATGGACTTGCCCTTGCTTCTTAAGCTGCTAAAATTTGGTTTTACATCTTTAGTGGAATGTTTATCACAGATTCACTGTTGTCTATATTTGTATTTTTTCTTATCACCTGTTGCACTCCATGAGAACTTCGGCTATGGGGCACTGCAGAAATCACCATCACCACCATGTATCTTCTGCAATATTATTGTCCAATGCCATCGATATACATTGAATCCCTTCTCTCTCCTTGGACTCTCTTCAGTGGCACTGAACACTGTCCGAGCATTCGTGCTGTTGGCAATGATCACTAGTGTCGTCGCCTGTTGCTGTCTGTGTGCCGGATTCTGGCTGAAGCAAGTGGGATCCGTCTCTATGGCCATGATGGCAGCCACAGCCAACGTTGTTGCAGGTATGACAAGCTTCCGGGAGTACTTGCTTCCAATGCCAGGTCTAGTTCTTCAAGTCCCCAAACTTCATGCCATAGTTGGCATGGCAAAATGCCTAGATGCTTTGGCTGTACGATTTGAGCCAAACAGACTCCACATGTATACCAAATCTGGATAGTCTGGATGTTCCTGCAGTTCAGTTCTGAAATGCAAGTTTCCTGCTCTTCCAAGGTGTTCTAAAGGAAAAATGTTTCGTCTGAAGGTCAAGCATGTCAGCTGGAGTTTGCTGTTCACCATGTTTTAGGTGAAAGGGGTAGGCAGCCTCAGGGAGATGAGAGGCTTGGGAGCACTGGATGTGGAGCAAGGAGTGCGGACAGAGGGAGTTTGCCCTCCTCCGATAACCTCCCCTGGGTCCAGGTTTGGCTTTTTTAGGAGTGGTTTTATCACAGCCTCCTTTAAGGGTACTGGAAGCGCTCCCTCTCTTGCGAGGCATTGACAGCCTCTTGGGCCCTGGTGCAAACCCCTGGGCACAAGAACAGGGCACAATCGAGACTCAGTTTTCCAACCAGACATGAGGGTGGTATCCTGCAGGTGGAGGACTTTGGTTCTGCCCCTTTGTCATGGACAGAGTGCACCAGCTGAGAGTTTGGCTAATGGCAGCGCTCATTCTCTGCAAGGTTAGGGAGCCTATTAAGATGGAGGTTAATGGATCAGCGGGGTGGAGTTGGAGAGTCATAGAGGGACTTCCAGCTGATATGGCTGGAGCTCCTCACAAAGGCCTGGTTGACTGGTGTAACATGTACGGAAACGCCCTGGGTGCCTGACACAATTCCTCCTGAGTGTCCTCTCTATGGTGGAGTGTCTATGGACCCATGGTATACTCCTGAGCTGAAAGCCATAAAAGAAAACAAGGGACAACTCATGTAGAGAAGGGAAAACCAAAACAAAACACCCTCCTAGGGATGCATCAAATTCTGATATATGCCCACATTGTGTTTTCTTTGGGACAATTAAGGTAGGAAAGGAGGGATAATTCCTTGTCTCTATTCAGCCTTCTATTTGCCACCCAGCTGAGCAGTTTAGGGTCATCTAGGGCCTGTACCATCCTGGCCCTGGGGACATCCTAGATCTGTTTGAGGCCAACTGGGCACTTCCATGTCACAATCTTTTGTATCTGCTGGTTCTCAGACTTAAGTCTAATGTTCAGTGCACAGTCTAGTACAGTTTCATTTGACAAGTTTCAACTGGTACAATTTGAAAAGGTGTCTAGGATCCAATACTCTATGGTGATCATACAAGACCTTCTTCCAAGTGCTACCTCCAAGGATGGCTTAGAGCAGGGGTCTCAAACTCGCGGCCTGCGGGCCAATTGCCGGGATGGGGGAGGCACAGGGGAGGGGCCCTGCAGCCTTCAAAGCACCGGCAGCGCCCAGGCCGGCCTCCAGGAGCAACACGGGATGAGCGGCCCACCACCACCGCGGTGGTGGAATACTTGATGCGGCCCAGCCTCACCCAGACTCTACTTCCAGCGGCCCCCAGGTAAGTTGAGATTGAGACCCCTGGCTTAGAGGGTGGCAACAAGAGGGAAGGTCTTCTCAAAGATGGACTCATGACTGTGGCATGATCTCCCCACTGAGGTCCACCTGGAACCAACTTTTTCTTCCTTTGGGGATAAGTCAGCCCTCTGTACTTAGGCATTTAAAGGTATCTAAGGTTATCCAATGGCCAATAGGGGTGCCAGTCTCTGATGGTTTTCACATCTATTTTCACTAATTCCATTTTAATTTTTAAAAAATGTTTTAAAATTATGTTTTATTATTATTATTATTATTATTATTATTATTATTATTATTAATTGAATCTTGGTCCCATTTGGGAACTGTTGTGAAATCACCCAGAGAGCTTTGGCTATTGCATGCTACAGAAATTAAATAAATAGTAATGAATAATAATTCAAATGTGGATTGGTGAAATTAATGGAGGAGAAGATCGCTAATGGCTACAAGTTACATCCTACTTGCAAGCTCCTCAGAGCATCAGCCTGGTCACTCTAGAACATGAGATGCTGGGTGGAGATGTCTTTGATCTGACCCAGGAATGGTATCATTATGTCCTATGACCAGATGAGGAATCCGTGCCAGAACAAAGGCCAGTTTACCACTTGGGAAACCTCCCAGGGGCTCCCCCTCACACAGACAATTCTCACCCTCACATACATTTGCTTTCACCCATCTGGCCCTTCCTCATGAGCTGGTCCTTGGCTGCCTTCTTGTGCTTAATGCAGAGCAGGGAAAGATCTCTGATTGCAAAGGGTGGAAATGAAAGGTAAAGCCTGGGGAAGAAGATGCAGGGCCACATGGGGAACATGGCCATGTGGCCCGTGGGGGATGTCCCAGCCAAGCCAGAGGTCCATGCAAATGATTTAGGGAGTTTGCATGCTAACCTCTCCTTTTTGGGTTCTAGGTCTTTTTACTATGATTGGCATGTCTGTTTTCACTGGGAGGTCTGAGCAGTCTGTATTCTTTGGATGGTCTTTTGGGTTTGGTTGGTCATGTTTTCCTCTCTTCCTTATATGTGGTAAGTAAGCATCATGAGCTGGTCCCTTCTTTGTTCTTTCCGGTTTCAAACTCAAGACAGGCCTTTGAAATGCAGTTCTTTTACTGAAATTTAACAGTTTACAGAACAGTATGAACTCTAAAGAGCCTTTGACCATGGTGAAGGGAGAAGCACCTGCCCATGTCAAGAGTTGAATCCAAACTGGAAACGTCCCCTCTGTTCCTGCCTTTCCCCTGACTCCACCCTCAGAAGGATCTTGTTCTTTGAAGACAAGATGGCAAGAATGAGAAGCTCCTCCAACTGAGAAGCTCATTTCTCCCACTAGGCCAAGGACTGGGTCTCTCCCCTGTCCCCCTCCTCTCCTGAAAACCCTCCTATCCCTTTCCAGCTGGGCTGATTCTCACACCCTGCCTGAGAAACTCCCTGGATAATCTTGAAACTCCAAAATCCTCTCCTTCCTCACTGTTCCTCCCCTTCCTCCAAGTATGTTCATATATAGGCTCTCCAAAAGAAGTTCAGCATCATGTATTAATGTAGTCCTTTCTACATACTGACATTTACTATTGTTGGATTTCATTTTGGTCCCAGTTTCATCTTGTTCTGCTGCTATTCAGTACATTTTGTGCAACATCCATTGTCCTTTATTAACAGTGTTTTTCATGCTGCCACAATTCACTGAAGGAAAAACTTAGATCGGTTTTCAAGCATTTCTGAAACTTGGGCAGCTCCCTGCCTGGGACACCTCTCTGCCATGTTTCATTTTCAAATATCCCCCTGCCCCACTCTGAGGTTTTGTTACTCTGACCTTGGTCCATGAGTGAACTTTTATGATATTGACCTTTGGATTTGCTGACTGTACTTCCTGTACTGATCAAACTTCTATCGTAACCTGGAGCATTCTCATCCTCTATCTCTCTGTCTCTGTCTCTGTCTCTCTTTCTCATAGACCTTTCCTTCTTGCCACGTAATAGTTTAACCTTGACCAATGCTAGTTTCTTGATTCACTCCTGGAATCTTCCCTCAATTTCATTAATACTGAGTCTGACCAGTCTAAGCAGAACGGTTATTTCACTAGACAGGTGAATCACCAACAACCACTATCTCCACCTTGTTCAGGTGGAGTCCCAGTTATTGATCTGCAGCCAATCCTTCTCTCTGCCCAAGCATTGGTTGAGCAAGTCCTGGGTTTTATCCCCTTGTTTACAAAGCTGAGCAAGGCTGTGAAATAGGCGGGCATTCATTCATAGGGTCGCCATGAGCCAGAGACGGCAGCAGGCAATAACAAACGATCCACATATTGGGGACATCTCACCCCACATCTGTGAACAACTTCTGTGGATGCTGAGATGCATGGGAAATAGGGGAAATGGGACCATGAGGAAGAGCAATCATCTTGCAGCACCTACTGGAATTGGCCATCTAACTAGGAGCAGAACCATTGCAATATACATCCCAACTCAGTTGGATGTTGGTATTCCAACATACCAAACCTGACAGCCTGTCCAGGAAGCTATCATGGCCATTGGTTCAGAAAGCTGCTGAACAATCCATGAGATCCAACAGAGTCACACACCCCTGTCTTCTTCCCAGCATGGCCATCCAACAGGGTGATTTTGATTCCCGAAACTGGTTTATGACACTTGCAGGTGAATGTTTCCAAATGTGCAAACCGCACCATCTTGTAGCATCAAGCTGTAAGAGTAAGGCAGTGTCTTCACTCATGCGAGAAAGAAAGTGATATAAGTGGTGGTATTTACAGTGGTGTTTTATGGCTTCATCTAATGCTCACCTAATCAACACCTTTTTTCTCTTGACAGGTGGCATTGCTTACACATTAAAAATGGACACGTCAGCATGAGCAGTGGGAAAAGAAGTCACTGCCTTCTAAGATGGCATCCGGTGCTGTATGTGAAGGCAGAAATGGGGTTATAGAAAAGCACAGTGTGAACTTGGGAAGATATTCCTTTACCTGATTATGAGGGCAGAGGAGTGGGCTCAGTTCAGAATGAGGAGTCCAGTAATACTCCCAGACATCCTGGTCTTGTTGTCACTGCTAATTTAATCTGTTTTATTCCCTCATGTACAACAAGGGTTGGGGATGTGTCACCTCCAGAAATAATCGGACTACAGTTCCCATCAGCCCTTGCTATTATAGCCAGTGGTGAGGGGTGTTGTAGTCCAGCCATATCTAGAGGTCTATGCATTATCTATCTCATTCATTCTTTGAGAAGTTCATTGGAATGAGACCCAAACATGACTCCTTTCAGGCACAGGTGATCTCTAAAATTGATCTCCAATTTAGCACATATAATTACCAGTCTGTCATAATCTTATGTAATGTTGTAAATGAAACCTTATATCTTTTGCATTCATGTTTTGATTCTGCATTTACTGCTGGAAGTATATGGAAAAGCCAGTATCCCCAAACATGTAGATTAAATGCTGCTTCTTCCTTGCCTTGTTTGCTGCAGTGACATCCTCATGTGCTCCCCATTTAGCTGAGTGAAGAAGTCAAAACAACTTCCAGCTATGCTTGGAAGATCAACCATGTGCAGGGGCAGAAGGTGTCCACCTGGTCACGTGGAGAGGGTCATTCCCATATGGTACTCTCCTCATTAAGTTCCTGAGGCCTCCAGCCCACGTGCTGGAAACGATGTGATGCATATATGGAGGAACATGTGGGGATGGACGAATGAACTCCCTACTTCCCATGCACCAGTCACCCCTGTGTGAGTGCACAAGTGTGTGAGAGTGCCTGTGTGCAAGGGGGTCAGTACTGGTGCTCATCAGGAGGCTAAGCACCCCTGCACACTCTGAGAATACACCTGCAAGAACTAGTGGCCGTTCCAGTTTCACCCACCACATGGGGCCCTGGTGCTGACCCAAGACATCCCTGCGCAATGACTAGAGGCAGCTGGCTCTCTTCATCAGTCCTTGTTCTTTTGCTCTCCCCTTTAATCTACAGCCCATCTGCTCAATAACAAAATAAATATTTCTTGATGAATTCATGGCTAGCTATTTGAAAAGGACTCTTTTTCCCAAGTGTGCTTCCAGAAATCCTCTCCAAAGTTGCAAGACATCATGACCAGCCTGGTTTGTATCATATGTCCTTTGCTTTACAAGAATAATTCAGTGGAATTCTTGGGCAAAAGGCACTTTCTGGGGCCACTGCACATGGCACACACCAGCAAATCGGGGTTTTGCCATCAAGGCTATGCAAGCCAGATGACTGGGCTGGGCTGCTTTCTATGGCTGGCTACCTGCTCTCTAAGATGCGGTCAGGATATGGTGGTGTTTTCACTTTACTGGCTCCTTTTGGTTGTTTTTTTTTGTTTTTTTTTTTTGCCATTATGGCAGGGAGGGGAGGTAGGCAAATCCATCATGGTTTTTCACAGATTCCTCTAAGTACCACATTCAAGGTTTGCACAGAAGTCTCACAGTGCAGAGACAGGTTTTTGCAGCAAGCAGGGTGGGATTTGCCTCTCCCTAATATCTGTCTGATTAGTAACACAAAGGAAGAAAGATAGCTCAAAGGAGAAAGGACATGAACCCCAAAGGATAGCTTAAACCATTGCAAAACAGCAGAATGGAGAGGGGAAAGCCTAGTGGGTGTGGACACTGCAAAGGTGCCAAGTGAGCTTAAAATCTGGTATCAGCTTGAAGAAAATCCCAAAAAAGCCTACATTCCAGAATGCTTCCCCAAAAGGACACACGAGAGATTGAGAAAAGGGGGTTGCGATTGAGTCTGCCAAGCCAGAAGACTCCCCGTTCTGATTTACAGACAGCACAGGAGTATCATAAGAGAGCAACACGTCCCTCTTACATGGGAACTGGCCTTGACACGCAAGGCCCTGGAACCCTGGAAACCAGGAGGATGGGGCTGGCAGCAAGAGTAGGCATGACTGGGCACCTGCAAGAGGAGCTGGATGGCACAGGCCACCTAGACTTGCTTCTCCTCCTCACCCCTGCAACCTTCTTGTTTTCCTGCTTCTCTCTCTTGCCCAGGTGAGAAGTAGGAGAACCCAATGGCACTGCTGCCTTGCTCACTGGCTCTCTGCCCATCAGGCACGCAAGTGGTAGCAATGATGAGAAAGAAGGAGAGGAGAAATAGAGGTGGCATCCATGCTGGGGAAATGGTGGAGGGTGACAGAAGGAAGGAAGGAATTGAGGATTCTGGTGCAAGGGCCTCAAGAACCTGGAGTTAGCACTGTTGGAGGAGGAACAGCAGCAGCCATGGAGCTCTGCCTTTGGTTTCAGGTGACTGAGCCATAAACCTTGAGTGCATGGGCCTATGGACAATTCGCCCATGAGATTCCTCCTGCATCTTCTCTGGAATGGATGTGGAAGGTAAGCTCCTGCTGCAAAAGCAGGACTAGCAGTGTGGTCCTCGGAAGGATGCTCAGTTCTCCAGGTCTCAGCACTTGCAGCTGTCTGTAGGACAAGAGATGGGTCAACCCTGTGACAGTCCTATGTGACCAAATGCGATTCCACTCCTCTCACATTCATCTGTTGCCTTTGGAACTTCTGTCTTCAAGAAACCCTTCTACGCATTGACCTTTCCGACACAGAAGCCCTGAGGCACACCAGTTAGGGATTCCCCACAGCGGATTCCGGGGAGTGTTCTGGCTCACTTCAGACAGGCTTGTCCATGGGCTATCTATCGGGCCTCCCTGACACTCCACAACCATCCAGTGTGTCTCTCCACCCAACACCTGCGCTGCATCACCATGCACACGTGCAGATAGACAATCAGCTACCCGTCTCAGTCCTTCACACCAGCAGAGGTGGAAAGGGATACCCCCGATATACATTTATTTATTTATTTATTTATTTATTTATTTACTTATTAAAACATTTTTATGCCGCCCCATTCGCCGAAGCCTCGGGGTGGCTTACAACAATACCCAATGTGACTACTATGTTTTCTCAAGAGGGCTGCAAAGAGTACCTCAACCCATCTTGGCTGCCTGTGCAAATGCACAAAGTTAGGACAAGTCGCACAGGAGGCAAAACAGCCGTGGGTTCTGCTAAGGACAGGGTGAACTGTCACCTCAGTAAAGGACATGCCAAAGGATAGGCACAGTCAATGCACCCATAGATAAGAAGGAGCCGTGGGGTGTGCTTGCTGATAAGGAAGTCCTAGTCATCCTTATCTTCAGAAACAGCCACATAGATGCTTTGCCGCAATAAGGCAGAAAAGAGAAATAACTTGCTTGGAATTAGATAAATGGTGAATGAATGTTATGACACACAATTGGCCAGTAGTCAAGAAGCCTTATAAGGGACTGCTCCTTCATAAGGTCACTGCTCCCTTCTAAACGTCTTTGGTGGGGCAGAAGTGCCCATAAAATGGTGGGGGGGTATCAGGTCTGCAGAGCTTTTAAAGACAAAACTGTAAACTGTTCGCATTCGGCCCTTATTTTTGCAGCTGCATACACTTTGCATGTGAAATTAATCAATAAACTTCAACCATTGTCACCAGTTAATGAAATGGGTGACCCTCCTCATTTAGGGATGACCAGGCATGAGAACATTCCCTTGCTCAAGAAGGGACTGATCACATCCCAGGGCCAGGACTCCTTCAGGACCACCATGCACTGAGGGGACTAGAAACATAGAAACAGAGCGAGTCAGAAGGGTCCTTCTGGGCCATCTAGTCTGACCCCCCCCCCCCCGGCTCCAGCCAGCTGCGCTCACGACACGCCCACCAGATAAGACTAGAAGTTCCAATTTCAAAAAGTACTCCATGCCACATGTCTTCCTAAAGGTGATGTGTGGGAGTTTGTCCCCCAATGTGTCTTTTCTGCTTTACTATGAAATATTGTCAGTTGAATTGTTCAAATCAGTCAGCTTCAGGCTAAGGAGAGGACACCTTCCCGAAGGAACAGATGAAGGTAGTGATGATGAAGAGGAGAATGATGATGATATTCAAGAACAATGTTTCCAGAAATGATCTGTTGCTGGGGGTCACCTGTGTTTTGTGATTATGTTTTTAACAATCCAGTTTGAACTCCTGCTGGTACTGATATCCCACTTGTGGGTGTTGTAAATACAAGCCCAAAATGCCAAGATGAGCTTGCATAATGTATTGCTGCAGGATAAGGAATATGCTGCAAAAATAAAATTCAGGGTCTCGGCTCCAGGTTTAAGGAGGTGCTTGGAAAAGTGCCTTTGGGCAGGTCTCTCCTCATGCCAGTGGCAGCAGCAAAGGAAGGAAAATCCAGGAGGAATGACATCATCTCTCCCACCCAGTGGCCCTGGGAATTCTCATCTTCCATTATTTTCCAGGGAATTTCAGGCTCGCATCTTTAAGAAGTACTGAAGTTACTTTGAATGTTAGTTAAAAAGAAGAAGAAGAAATGTTAACCTCTTTGAATATTATTATCATGATCAAAAAATGAATCTACCTGAGATCAGTACACACCCAGTATACATAAATATTGGGCTTGTTGAAGCAAAGGACTTGACTTGTGCTGGGAGTTGTTTCTAAGACAAAAAGAAACAAGTACACACAAGGGCAGAGGAGTTCCTTTAACTTATGTGAGTGCTTGTTTGTTTTGTCTTAGAGGCAGGCATAGCGCAGTCTGCATGCTTGGAGAACAGATTCGTCACTGTCCCAAAAAGCAAATTTTAAACAGCCGAGGGATGGTGCTCACTGAATCCCTCTTCCAGGCTTCCCAGTGTGGGAAAGGGATGTCAAACCAAAAGTGTGATTGTGGAAACTCCTCCCCTCAGCTATGCTGAACTCCTCCCTACCTCCTTGGGTGTCTGAAGAAGCAGGAGGGGATTGCCAGCTGGAGAGAAGAACAACTCTCTGCAGTTCTACCAAGTTTTGAGAGACGTTTGCTGGCCAGGTAAGTAGGAGGCAGACTTGGGAACAAAAACACGGTGTTGAATCCGTCCTAGCTGTGTCTCTAATCATTCTGACAGGAAACTGCTGGATCCTAGAATGGACTTCCTGATGTTACTTGGGCTTAACGGAACGGTAGATCACTCCGGCCCCACTGATTTCCATGGATAAACTCTAGAGATGACTAAACAGGGCTTGAGTCACTATTCGGAAAGCCTTCGTAATTTTTGCTGCAACAGGAAGTGCCTGCAGTTCCAAGAGCAACTGTAGGAGACCGTATGTGCGTCACAAAGTTCAGCAGAGTTGCAGTAAGGGCTGGTTGTGGGCGTTCCGTAAACTTTCACAGGATGTGCTGGCCCAGCCCATGCCTATTAAAGCCAGTCCCTTGAGAAGTGGAGCAGAAGCATTTCATGTCCTCCTTCCACAGGGCAACTGGCTGCTGAAGAAAGGCGTAGGAGGCATTTCCAAGCCAGGTGAGGTGATACATGTGCAGCTTTTGGTAGAAGGGGAAGGGGATATTTTCCAGTTGATTAAAGTCTGGTGAACAGTGATGCTGCTGGAATAGAAGCACGGGAAAGAGACTAAAGCCGAAGCAGCCGCATGCCTCAAAGGGTGCAAACCAGAGAGCTGAAGGAGGACCTTGGAAGATTTGATCATCTCATCCCGTAATGTTCTTTCCAGAAGTGGCCATCAGCCAGCTGCATCTGGAAGTTTACTAATTGGGTCCAAAGGCAAAAACCTCCCAGGATATTTATCCCAAGCATTTGAAATTGGCTAATGGAGGGTCTCTAAACTTGGAGGTTCTTCAGCAATCATGCTTGATAGCTGTTTGTACAGCTTTGCTCCAGGCATCTGGCTCTATTCCCTTTGTCAGTGCCAGTTAAACTGTGACCAGCTTTCGGGGGTGTTGCTAGGCACTTAGAAGTCAAGACCCCAGTCTATAGGCACAAATCTGCATAGAAATTCAAAAGTGGAAACAATAACTAGAGTGCGTTTCAATTTCACAGAAGGCAAGGCCAGCCAATGCTTTTCACAGTCAAAATTTTCAAGTAAAATAAAATCTCCAATTAATTTGCATCCTACAGAAGAGTGAAACTTATTTTTTCTTTAAGCTTAACTGCAATGCAGGGATGAATTCAGTAATGGTAGTGGAGTATTGATACATGTGGGGAAAGGAGAACAAACCTTTCCTTTCCTAGCTGTGATCACCCTTGGGAAACTGTCTCCCCATAGCATCTGAGGTATTAAAAAGCACCTCCCATTGGAGGCTATGGATTCTCAGGGCTCTGGTGTCTAGATCCAGGGCCCCAGGAAATATACAGTGGTACCTTGGCTCATGAACTTAACCTGTTCCAGGCCTCTGGTCATGACCCAAGTTGGTCGTGAGCCAAGTTAAATTTCCGCATAAGGTTCAATGTAAATAAGGTTAATCCATTCTGTAACTATTTTTTTTAATCAGAAAAATGTGAAGCAAAGTGACAAAGAACAACAAAGATCACAGCCATCTCCCCACAACACCCTGAGCACGAGCGTGGCCATCTCCCTGCCACCCCCCCCCCAGCACAACCGCAATCGTGCTCATCATCCCTGCATGCGCCCGTCATCCAGGCCATCTCCCCCTCCATGCTGGGGGGAGGGGAGAGAGACGGGCACAATAGTGGGTGCACTGGGGGGAGAGACAGGCACAAAGATCGGTACGCTGGGGGGGTTAGATGGGCGCGAACGCAGGCATGCTGGGCGGGGAAGAGACAGGTGTGATCGTGCTGGGTGGGGGGGAGATGGCCGAGATCGGGTAGCGCTCCTGCAGGAAAGACGGGCGCAATCACGGGCGTGCTCGCACAGGAAGGACGGACGTGATCACAGCCATCTCCCCCCCCCAGCACGATCGCAGCCATCTCCCCACTCGGGGGGTGGGGGACGGCCGCGACCGTGGCCGCCACCCAATGTGGAGTCCGAGACCTGTGGCAAAATTTTTATGGAATTTCTGTTCGCGACCTGATTTGGTCGTGAACTGAGGCATTGGTGAGTTGAGGTCCCGCTGTATTTGGGGTCAAGCTTCCACAGGCTAAGGTCCTAGCGATGCTCCTGCCATGACAATAAATCACCGAAGGTAGTTCGCTGTTGGCAAAAAAGCAAAAAAATGATGGGCTTGAATTTGCCTTGATGGATTGCGCTCTCCAGCCACCACCCAGGTGTTTCCACAGACAATTCAGAGCAGGTAGAAGCACCTTTTTCAATCTGCACATGCCTGTTCAAGGACTTCCTCTGCAAGAGGGTTGTAGAGCTGCCATGTGACAGGGAGAGAAGGACAGCAGCAGCATGTTGACAAGATGGAAAAGCTGCAGAAACGTACTGATAACCATGAAGAATTCTAAGTTGTGAAAGATTTCTGGTAAGCTGGCTCAGTCACCAAGTCAAAGAGAGACTGCAACCAAGAAATTCAAGGACTGAAACGCAGAAGGGCCACATTAAAGGAACTAGAAAAGATAGTCAAATGCAAGAACAGCTCACCAGAGACCAAGACCGAGATCATCCTCATTATTGTATTCCCAGTCATTGTGTGTGGGGCAGTAAGGAAAGCAGACAGGAAGAAAATGGATGCATTTCAAACATGGTGCTGGAGGGGTGCTTTGTGAAGACCCTGGACCGTCAAGTCTGTCCTAGATCAACTCAAGCTGGAACTCCCCCTAGATGCAAAAATGACAAAACTGGTGGCTGTCCTATGGGACACGTCATGAGAGGGCAAGACTGACTGGCGAAGACCATCATGCTAGCAAAGGTTGAGGGCAGGGGAAGAAAAGAAAGCCCAAATCTAAGGAGGACTGACTGAGTAAAAGGTACCACACCTTTGAATTTACAACAGCTGAGCAGTTCCGTCATGGATAGGACATTTTGGATGGCTTCTATTCATAGGGTCACAACAACTCAGGGACAACTTGACAGCAAATCTCAAAAACAACACTTCCTCTGTTTTGATTCCTTTTGTTGAAGAAAAAACTGAGAACTGTTGCAATGACTTGTTTGTAAAAAAAAGGGGGTGGGATAAAATTTAGGGAGCCCTAGGCCTACTTGAATCTGCCCCATTTTAGTGCGGTTCAATGTAGTAGGATCAGAGGTCATGTAAACCGTCTTAGGACAACTAAACATTTCCCTGTCGGGCATGACACGCCTCATCCAAGGAAGGGGAGGCATAGCAATTGCTGCCCTGCAGAGGGGTCACAACTGGGCACCTGCTCACAGCGCCCTGCACACGTGGGCAATGGGATCTCTTGGAGCACTCGCCCTTTGCCCCAGGACTGGGCAGGCTGGGGGCAGGAGCCGTTCATTCATGGGAGTTCTGAATGGAGGGTGCAGGCAAAGCAGCTTGAGAAGGGCAGGGAAGACCCCAGCACAAGTGATCAGCGGGGGTGTGGGATAACACACGTGTCCTTCTCCTTCCCCAGGTTCAGCCCCATCGTGCTGCACAGGGACTAGGAGAGTGGACAGTTCCTCACCATGGGCTGCCTGCGGATCACCGCGGCCTTGTGCTCGATGATCAACCTTGGGCTGCTCCTCACTGCCCTGGCCACAGACTACTGGGTCACTGGCAGGTTCCACATGGGCCTGTGGAATATTTGCAACTGGAGATACGAATGCATCCGTATTGGCATGGATGCAAAGGGTAAGGTCCAGCCTGGAGAGTGAAAGGTCATCAGGACTATACCAAGTTCTTCCTTATGCCTTAATATTTGCAGCAGTCCGGGGGACACTGGGTAGGTTTGCCCCATGATCATCTGGGGCAACCCTCCTGCCAGCAAACTATGGCAAAACCCCCACTTTCAGTGAACTCAAAGCACTGCTGCACATCAGTTGCATCCATAGCAGGGATTCTGGGGGAATGCTCTAGCTCAGGTCATGCACTGGATTCTTGACAGAGCTACTGTGGTGCAGCCTGGAGTGGAGTGGAGGAATGTCCACCCAGGGAGCAGCAGACGAGGCCCCCCGGGTAGCAGAAGTGAGCTCCATTTGAGCCTTGCACCCATGGTGGCGCCATGGTTTCTGTCAGTGGAAACTGCAAAGCTGCACACACAGAATGGCTTGGCGGGACTTGTGCTTCGTTGCAGTTGATGCTAACGAGCATCTTACCGCAGAAGCTCTGCAGAAGAAGTTGTAAAGCATGGCATGTTGTTTTGTCAGGGAAGCAAAATGTTGCATTTCTTTTGAAATCTGCAGTGTTTATTTAAAGTTTCCACCATGACAGGCCTCAAAATGCTATTGTCTATAGAAACAACACAGAGGTAATAATGGGAAATATGGCATCCACAATTGTCATGAAAGAAAATTTCAGAACAATCCAGTAAAAATCATCATAAGCACAGCAAGCAACAAAGGGCTGAAGATTGGCATATTTAGCATTTTAGTCCAAACCTTGAACAGAAATATCAGATATTCTTTTGCATTTAGGTGGTGACTGTTGGTGTACTTTGTCTGACCTTCTGAGGAAGGAAATTGTATTCATGATTACATTGTGTTCATAACCATGTTAGACTGTTGTTGGGTTTGGCCCTGGTGCTTTTACAACAGCAGAGCCAATTGTGTTATTAAAGTATTGATAGGGGCTGAACATCTGCGTTGCGCTGCAATGCAGATTTCTAAATATTATTATCAGTGAATAAATCAGATCCCCAGGGTCTCAAGTAAGAAAGGAATAGTGAGCTAGAACTCCCCATATTGCTTAGGCAGTGGAGTGGATTGCTCAGCAATGATTTAAGAATAAGAAAACATTTTATGAGGCAGCCAAAGTTATATGGGTTGCTGTGGAGATCTTCCAAAGGGGGACCTGATTCACATGCTGGACAGTCTGAAATACCAATGGGTTGGCTGAAATGAAATCCATACCTGCTAAGTCAGCCTTCCCCACCCTTGTGCCTCCCAGACACATTTGGACTGCAACACCCAGAATTCCCAGACAATGGATATGCAGGTGGTGGGAATTCTGGGAGTGGTGGTCCAAATGCCTCTGAAGGTCACCAGGCCGGGGACGGCTGCCCTAGCACATCCCACTGGGTGATCCCGCTGGGGTTGCTGATGCAGGGCAGAGTAAAGCACATGCGTGGTGATGCTCAGCTGAAGTGTGGAGGCAGCTCTTGAAAGGGGGCCGGTGTTGGTGTTTAGAAAGGGCCGGCCCTACTATTGGGGCGACAATACAGGAATCGCAGTGGGGGTTGCCATTCCCTCACCACCCTCCCACCCTTCTCTCCACTTCCTGCAGACTACATTCACGCCACCAGAGCATTCATGGTGACGGCGGCGCTCCCTGCTGCCATCGCCTTCTTCAGCCTTTGGTTCTCATGTTGCTGCCCTCGCATCGGCTCCCTCAAGCTGGCCAAGGTAGCAGCCATAGCCAGCTTCATCGCAGGTATGATCGTTAAAGGTTCTCTATTTATTCAGTCAAATGTCGTTTTAAATGCTTTCCCCATCCAACCATCCATCATACATCTATTTATTATATTTCTATCCCACCTTTATCCTTCCCAGGAACTCCAGGCAGCTTACATATTTCTCCTCTCCCTCTCCCTCTTATTCCCACAAAAACAACCCTGTGAGGTAGGCTGGGCTGAGGGGCGGCCATTGGTCCAAAGTCACTCATTGGGCTCCGTGGCCATGCAGGGACTAGAAGCCCGAGTCCCAGTCCTGCTCTCTTCACCACTGCAACGCACTGGCTTTATATGCTGCCTTGTATGCATTCATCCAGGTTCGGATATCACACATCTGGGAACAGAGTGAACAAGCAAGGTATGGCGGCTCCAGGGTTGGTTTCCACTCTGCTCCTGCTGCCATTAGTGGAAGGCAAAGGGAGAGGGTTGCATCATCGGTTCCCGCAGCTGGTGAGCTGTTGGAAGCCCTGGCCAGTCACTAGAGAAATACAGCAAGCCTGTCTCCCCCTGGCTTGGTCCTCAGAGCACTTCTCCCTGCCTGAAAACAACTGACTGAAGCACCCTAAAGTGGAGTAAAAACCCTGCAGGCCTGGACCAGGGCTGGGATGAACTCTCTCGGAATTTGTCCCCTCAAATAGTCATGGGCCTCCTCCTGTGCTTGACCTGGTCCTCCAAATTGAGCTGAGCTGAGAGGAAGTCCACAAATGCTCATAGATCCTTCATTGCACAGCCGGCAATGCCCTTCTACATACCTCCGTTGGGGGCTCAATTGCCTGGAAACTCTGGGCACCCCCTGCAGGAACTTGGACTCTGGCCTGCTGCAAGAGGCACTGGAGTCCAGGGAGCTGAGCCCAGGGAGTCTGATGGTTCCTGCATGGATTCCTGCCACATCCCTTGCCTGGACCAGACACCCTGCAAACCTCACTCCCTGCACATCTGTTAAGGCCAAACCTGTCTCCTGTGACTATGTGCTATGCAAAACAGTTTCCACCCTGATGAAAGATGGAGATGAGTTCTGCCAAAATGACTGGTTCCCCAGAGAGGTGCTAATGGACCACTCTTTGGCTTCTAGGAGTTTGCACCTTACTTGGCATGGCCACCTTCACAGGTGTGCACTCTGAGCAGTATGAGCGGAAGATGGGGACGTGGTATGAGTGGTCTTTTGGTCTGGCCTGGGCCACCGTCCCTCTGTCCCTCGTGACTGGTGAGTATACGCAGGACGGGAACGACAGCATCTCTGAAGAGACCAGCTCTCAGACCTCCTACCGCCCTCCACACAGGCAGGGTTGAGAGAAACCTTACGGGAATCCCTCCCTCCCAGCATTTGCAGACTTCTTCTTGCTCACTGTCCAGTTTCCCAAAGTGAGCCAAGCCAAAAGCAAGTCCACAAAGGCTGGCAGACCGATGGTTGTGCAATGGGCAACCTTCTTCCAGGTCAGCAGCAGCAGTGCTAATGGCATTTTTGGCATCAAGCCTTTGGCATCATGCGTACCCACCCAAAGAGCAGCTGCAATGGACATGGGAAGGGGCACTGCTAGGGGTCATACAGGGCTCCTTTCCTGGTGACCAGCCTTGGGACCCTTCTGACCAGCCATTTTCCGCAGCAGCTGCAGCTGCACGAGAGGGACCCTGCTTGCCCAGCACCTGGGCGTGATTCCTCCCAAGCACACTATGAATGCTGGGCACACATGCCGGGAGTTCAGACTCGGGGCTGCTGCAAGGTGTACCAGAGTCTGCACAGCTGAGTTTAGGGCACCCAATGGATTCCTACCCCCAGATAGACCCCCAGATAGACTCTCCCTACACACGTATTCTTTTTGTACCTTTGTGGTACATCTCCATGTCTTTTCTTGCACCACAGAGGGCCACCTTATGTGTGTGGAGCAGAGCTGAGATTCCACTGTTTCTCCCCCAGTTCTAGAAAAAGTTGCCAACCTTGCAGAGCTTTTCCAGAAAATTCTCCACCAGCCTTGTGTGCGGCAGCCATTTCCTCACATCATGCCCTTGCAGAATGGCTGGGGCCGTGGCATCAGCAAATGCTGCTTAGGCTGCCAGAATTGGTTGTGGCCAGTTCCAATGTCATAAAAACAAAAAAGAAGAGAAAAGGAACATGAATTTGCTATTATTGTTCCCAGCTATGAGCCAAACCCCTTTGAAGACACTGAAGAACCTCTCTTGCTGGAGAAATGAAAATGACTCCCTGTCCTGAAATATCTGCATTTACCTACAAGACAGAGAATTATGACATTTGTACAAAACACAAAGCAAAGTTTTGGAGTCATTCTCCAGGTGTATCACTTTACGCTTCAGACAAAGGTTCACAGCTACCTGGGAGAATGAAAAACCAAATAGGAGATAGTACTGGGCTGTATAGAGTCATGGTTCAGTTCAGTATAAGTTGGCTCCATGTATTCATATTTGACTTGCTAATAATTTCCAGATCTGTAGAGATCCAAGAGGGATTTTCTAACAATGGCCTCAGCATCACTTCAAATAGAGGACTGGAGAGAATCCCAAATTGTACAATCTCAAGAAGCTTCAGCCATGAAAGTTTTGTAGAAGAGAAACCTTGAGGATCAAAATATTAAACTACTAATACAAGTAGAGAGATAGCATGGCTTGAGGGTAGACCAGGAATTAGTGGCTAATACTTGATCTCTTGTTCCAATTTCTCTCTCCTTACAGGCATACTTGCTTACAAGGTACCGTCCAAAACAATGATATAAAGACTGGGAAAGTTCTGTGCCACTTTCTCTGAATGCACTTCAGTTATCCAGTGTGGGCATACATACAACATACAAGTTAATTCTAAAGTGAAAATTCTGAGGAATTCTGAAGGAAGCCAAGAGAGTTTGGACAACTTTCACGAAGTTTCTCAGATGGCAGACCTTTTTTATTATTGGCTAGAGAAATGGGACTTTGCATAAATTTAAATATGTTTTTAAATGTTTTAAAGTTTTAAATGTTTTTAAAGTTCCATTTTTCTAAATGGAAAAAGAAGGGTGTGGGAGCTGACCCAGCAGGCTCAATGTTTTTGATGATGGATGTTGTTTGTAGTTTCCCTCTCTCTCTCTCTCTCTCTCTCTTTTGGTTTGTTTTGTGTTTTAGGATTATAATGTCAAAAAGAACTTATTTAAAAAAAGTTTCTCAGGTGGCTTCTGCACTTCCTGGAATACATAAATAATAAACAAAAAAGACAATGTTTAGTTCTTGTAACTGCAGATAATCTTGAGAAGATGAGGTATTCAAAATCTTCTGAATCTGAAATCAGATTTTGTTTTAATCAGAATTTAATTTTATTTGCACTAAGTTGCATTTATTTATTTACTTTTTATACCACCCAAAAGCCGAAGCTCTCTGGGTGGATAACAAAATTCAAAACACACAACAAAAAGATATAAAACAATAACAGCAGTTGCAACCAGATTGGCTGCATCAGGGCAAATCAGATAGGACGAGTTAGTGCTAACAGAAATTTGTACAAATGACCTTCTTGCAAAGCGAAAAAGTTACAGACTTCTCAAAGCATTTGAACCAGCTGCAGATTTTTTCTGACTTCCCTGAACCATGAACAGATGATGCCTCCTGCAATTTTAGTGTGGAGCACAAATTTTTGAATGAGAGATTCAAGATCTTTCCCCTTTCTAGCTTGTTCGGAAGGAGACATACAGCTTCATTCTAAATGTGTTAAGATAAGAAGAAATTGCTCAGCAACAAGTGAAAGTCATGCTCAGAGATGCCTTTCCCTCTGCACATGCTCAGAGGTAACTTTTATTATATGACTGACTATGTCCTTTTAGCAGGGAAGGAGTACTGCTCCTTCGAAGCATCATCAAAGAAAGATGAAGGGGGCTGCATATGGATGCACGACATCCACAAAAGATCCACCACAGCAACACTGCGCAGTTTGCATTGCAGCTCCCCAGCCAGCCAGAGCATGGTCTTCTCAAGAAAAGGAAATCCAAAGCTTTCCGGAATGGTTTAGAGGGAGGCTGGAGGCTTGACGCTTTTCCCTCCCTCCAAATGAGTCACCCGCTGCTCCATTCGGATGGGAGATGCAACTTGCACCTGCCGAGTTTAATCATTGACTGAATTTACTGCATGCAGGCCTCCCTCCATGAGGTGTTGGGAAACAGCTGCCATCAGGTGAGACAGAATGGGCAAGGGTCATATCAGGATGGAAGGGAGGATTGGCCTTCATCAGCCGGCAGCGCCGTTTCATGATCAAGGGGCAAAGGAAGCCAAGCAGGCAACTCACGAGCCACTCCCTACAGCCAGGGTGAGCCGCATGGAAGCCCCGTTGGCATGGACCACTGGGGATGCCGGTGCCAGAGGGGCTCCTTGTGGCCACATGGATTTTGAGCTTCAGAGGAGCTATCCGTGCAGCTGAACTCCATCCTTCCAAGATATCTGCCTCCATTTCTCTACTGTTTTATTATACAGCTTTTTCACTCAGTCTCTTCAAAACCTTTGAGCCTCAGCCCTCTGAGATTGCACCATCTGGGAGTGGGAGAGATAGTATATTTTTTGTATGCCCACCAAAACTATTCCCAAAATGATTCTTTACAAGCACCACCTGTTTCCATGCCTATGTTTGTTATGATCCAATTGGAACTTTCATTCATTAGGGTCTAAGAAAGTTGTCAGATCACAGCTACTCTGCCGCTCAGCAATTCAACACAACAAGCACAATTTACAGTGACGACGTTATTCCTGGAAATCAGTGGCTAATGAACCCCCCACCCCACCCCGTTTGTTCCAGAATCAATCTCAAAACCAGAATCCGATCTACATGGTAAATCCCAGCAATACTATAGCAAACATAGATGCACATATACGGTTATCATAAACCGAGCACTAAATGATCTGAGCACTAAAAATGTTCTCAGCAATAGCTTGGCATTTAGTGTCTTACTTTAAGAAGGAAGGGCTAATCAATGCCCCTCTTCCGACCATTGTTCTCAACCTAAAAGTTTATCCTGTGGAAACAAAGCACTAAAGTGGGTGTCACCATTCTCTTGCTGCGAAGTCTCATCTGGGAAACTTAGAAGTTTCAGGGCCTGCCTCCAAGCATTTAGTCTTCTCCTTTGGTTTCTGAGTATGCGGTTCTTGCAGCATGTGATGTGTTCAGTAAATATTGTATACCACTATGTTCCAGTTGCTAATCTTCTAACTCACTCCCTGTTCCCCAGCATCTCTTTCTTTTGTGGGGGAGGGTGGAATTAAAAAGGACCACAGAGCTGATTCATGGAGGGTGGGGGTCCATTTTTTCTGGGATTCCAGGTGGCTACCTTAAAGAATGTAGGGATTCCTTCTGCCCACATTTCTGGCATTTCAAAACAGAGGGTAAAATGCACCAATAAATTTTAATCTAGTGTGTGTGTGTGTGTGTGTGTGTGTGTGTGTGTGTGTGTGTGTGTCATCTCTCTTTGGTGCCGAAAAATAAAAGAGAGGGAGGAGTATTTCTTCTTTTGGGGCAAGGTATAAATGTCAAGGCTAGCCAGGAGGCTCTGAGGGTGGGCAGTGGGCAAGCACGTGAGCAATTGCCCAGTCATTCTGACCCCTAATGGTGTCATGAGCTTGGCCCTTCCCTTTTTGCGCTTTAGTTCCTGAACACCAGCCAGTCTCTTTGCAGAGCAGATCTTTACAGGCACTTTGCAGCTACAAGACAATGCAACTTTAAAAGCAACCCAGAGCGTTTGGAATTGGAGCCTCTGCTCATGTCACGAAAATGGCATGCAAGCCGGGGACTTGTCTCCAATGTACTTCCCTTTCAGCAACTCTGTGGGTTGCCCCCTCAGGGTGGTTCTTGCTGGTGAAGGGCCAGCTGGCAAAACCTACACAAGCCCTCTAACGCAACAGCTCATCATGGGGTCAGGCAACAGCTCCCCTCCTTCCCCTTCTTTGACTTCACATCCCTTCCTAAATATTCCTGCTCTCCTGGTTGGCCTGGGAACCTGCAGGCACCAACTTGAGGACACCTCCATAGCTTGTGCTCCTCCCCAGGTTCTCAGAACTTCCATCTCTTCTTCAGATGGAAGTTCTCAGAACTTCTTCAAGGTTTCCTCCTCCTCCTCCTCCTCCTCCTCCACCCCTTCATGATGGGATGTGATGGGAAGGGAGGTGCCACTGTTTCCCACTTCAGCTCTTTCAATTAGAAATAGTGGGAACTCACTGGGCTGGAAGTATTCAATTTACCTATTTCAGTGGGTTTACCCTAGATATTAAGGATGCAGGTGGTGCAGTGGTTTAAACCACTGTGCTGCTGTGCTGGTTGATTGAAAGGTCACTGGTTTGAATCTGCACAATGGGGTGAGTTCCCGTTGCTCTGTCCCAGCTCCTGCCAACCTTGCAGTTCAAAAGCATGCAAAGACAAGTAGATGAAAAGGTGCCACTTCGGTTGGCAGGTAACAGCGCTCCGTGCACTTCGGTGTTTAGTCACGCCAGCCACATGGCCACGGAGACTGTCTGTGAAAAAACGCTGGCTCCCTCGGCCAGGAAACCAAGAGGAGCAGGGCCCCCTAGAGTCAGGCATGGCTGGACTTGACGTCAAGGGGAAACCTTTACCTTTTTACCTTTTACCCTAGATATTGCTAAATCTTCCCAACTTTCAGGAAGGTCATCTAAAAAGTTCAGAGAGGGAATTCCAAAGGAAGCGATCAGGCCACAAAGTGAAGCGGAGGCAGATGGGATCTATGCAGGCTTTGCAATCCTTGGCAGGATGTGCCCGTCCTGCCCATCCTTTTTAAATGACAGGCTCATGACTGGTGGGGACATACCGTGCTAGTGACGTGTTTCAGAGAGCTACCTCCGCCTGGAGGAAGGAGAAGGCAATTCTGAACCAGGCAAGGTGCTACATCTGTAGAGTGCTGTGGCAGGGACTGATTGTTCATTTACTAAACAGAACGCTGGATAATTTTGATGGCTCATTAATAAAACTGAGGAGGAGACACAGAAATCAGATTTGCGTGTTGCTGGACTTGTGCAAGGAGAGCCCTTTTTCAAAAGTTGTGCTGTTTCTTCCTAGCTGGCCTGTATCTGGAGTTCGTTCATAGCCATTCTGGATATCCAAGGGGGAAACCCACAGAGCCTTTGAAGCATTGAATACCAGATCGGTCATCTCACCCGGTGATTTCATTGCCAGTGGGGAATTTATAAATTGAGCCAGAAGAAAACAGCTACATGAGTGCTGCTGAGATGCAAGGTGCTGTGTAGGGCTGCCAGGTGGCAGCAGAGGAAAGAAACGGAGGGTGAGGGTTCAGCCTGTGTTTATAAGGGAGCATACATTAGCAGGTGAAGCCTTTTACAGCAAGGAGCTAAGTACGATAAGGTAAAGGTTTGTCATAAAACTCACATTTCAACCTGCTATAAAAATTGCACTGGGAGCCTGTTGAGTTGGGCAGGTCTAACTGTGGGGTGTGCTACAAATGAGGGAGAAATGTGGCAACTATTACCTTAAAGATGCATTCCATCATGAAAGGTGCTTGTGAGCAATTTGCAAGTGAGGCAAAATTGTGTACCAAAATACATGTATTAAGAGGAAAGGGCACAGAAGTGTATGCTCTTCTGTGTTAGCATGCAGACTTTTGGAAAAAAAAAAAAAAACCTTTCCATTTTGGGTCAAAATGAATTTGGTTAGAATGAACCAACAAATCAATTCCTCGGTGTGTGGATGCAGGCTTGCATGCACGTGGAGAGAGGAAAATGGAAAATGCTTGGATAAAGAGGAAGATTCTGAAATAGGGCCGCAGAGGCCATACGATCCATGCTGTCATATTCCAGAGGGTGGTGTGCTCACTGGCTACAGAAAGTAGAGTTTTCTTAGGGAACACCATGGAAAACCAGGGCAAAGTCAGCATGGGCTTTATTGGAGAAGTGAATGTCAGTCTGTCTGTCTGACTCAAAGTCTGAACATGAACCACACACACACACACACAGAAGTAGAGAGAGAGAGAGAGAGAGTTCATCGTTGCAGATGCCTGGATGCTTCTGCTGCCACCCCTGCTTAGAACACACCTTTGCCACCTGTTGTACATGTGTAGCTGTATCACCTAAACCCAGTGTTCTGCTCCCCATGGCCATAAGGGGGCAGCAGTACATAAAAGGGCAGGGGATACCTCAAGCAAGTGATCACTGATAGAGCAGCGTAAAATGCAGGTCCCCGTCTTTCCTCATGTTCGTCTGAATTGCACCGGGAAATGACTGGGGGAGCAGAAAATTCTCCACCATGGGCTGCCAGAGGATTTGTGTGGGCCTTTGCTTTGATCAGCCTTGTGCTGCTTCTCACTGCCCTGGATACAGACTACTGGGTGCAAGGTGCTGACCACATGGGTCTGTGCAAGATTTGGTTACATCGGTTGCCGTGTTATTCATCTGGAATGGATGTGCCAGGTAAGAGCCTGTCTGGACCAGACTGGAAAAGGAACTGGACTGCAGTGAAACCACAGAAAAGAGTCACTAGTTCTCTTTCATTTCTTTATTTCTTTATTTATTTAGGAAGCTTCTATGCCGTCCTGTTTGCCGAAGCCTCGGGGTGGCTCACATCAAGGATTTGGGGCAGGTGTGGGACAGTTAAAGGGTCAACACCCTGTTTATCTTGTGCGACCAATAATAGCTGTTGCAGACTCTGGTCACTTTGGGGAACAGAGCCAGGAGCACCTTTGCAGGCACCTGCAGGGAACAGCTGAGGTGCAGTGATGCAGTGCAGCTGGAGGCCCTGGAGAGCGGCATCGAAAGCTTCAGTGCACTGCTGCTCTGGCCACCCCATGACCTCTGTGCTCCGGCTCCCTGCATCACCTCACCTGAATTGTGGTCCCTGCCCTGCCCTGCCCTGCCCTGCCCTGCCCTGCCTCCATCCTTGTCTCCAGTCTGGCCCTGATTCCCAGGTACCTTCATCCATCCTCCCTACCCTCACCTTGCTCTTGAATGTGTCCATCTTCCTGGAACTTGACCCGTGCCATGATATCTTGGACGGTGTTTGCTTGGATCTATCTCTCCCTGGCTCTGACACTGCCATCTGTGTGCCTCGCACCACTCCGGTGTCCTAGGCTAAGCTATAGTCCAAGGAAGTGAGCCAGAGGTATTCCGTGCATGTCCTCAAAAGTATTTTAACCTTTATCCAGCATTAAAAAAACAAAAGCAGCTAACGTTCTCTGTTTGAGGGGTCATTTTGTCACCCCAGAAAAACGATCTCTAGGGATGCAAACGTCCTCAGGGACTGGTCCCTTTGGACTGCATGTTTCCACCAACAATTCAGAGTCAGCATTACAATGGACCTCAGCTTTCAGCTTGCAGACTTCAGACTACATCTTTCGTGCATCAGCAGGTATGGATGTAACTCGGCATAGCAATGCTTCAGTGTATCAACCTGCTGTCATGCCCAATGCATTCTGGTTTTTCTTTCAGAGGCTAGTTCCTCTTCCTGACCCTCAGAACAGACTATGAGAATCTCCAATTAACCTCTTTCTATGTCCTGCTAGTTGTACATTGTGTGAGGTCACATAAGGACCCTAATGGCCATTATCATGCAGATCTGGGGAACATTTTAACCCTGTGTTGGTTTATAATCACTAATTAGACATTATCCCCAATCCTAGGGGATGCTATTAGGAAAATCCCAATGGTGAAAAAATATCCTCTTTACTAAATACAAGACTTTACTCCCCCTGGAGTAAAATATTTGAAATTGTCTCTTCCAATGAGTCAGTTCAGCAGTTCAGAAAGGCAAAACTTCAGCCAATACTTAAATTTAAATCAGAGGCCCTTCCTTCCTTCATCCTTGTATTTGGAAAGCTCATTTTAAAACATTTAAGAGAGAGAGGGAAGGGAGGGGGGAGTAAATAGTTTGCCAACCCAGGTGGTGAGAGATGCGGGTCAACCACGAAGGTTTTGCAATCTTTGGTAGGAGGTACCACCTCTGCCATTCCTGATAAGTCCAGCCCTGCCTGTGACAGAGGCAGAGGATGCCACAGACTTGCTCCCTTGCAGTGCTACCTTCACCAGAAGAAAGCCACAGGTGATTCTGAGCCAGGTGAGCTGATGCGTCTACAGATTGCTGTGGGAGGGAGGGCAGTATTTCTCAGGACTACGCAGGTTCGTGAATTTAGATGCTGCATGAATGGAATCAGGAAGCAGAAGTACAAGCAAGGTTGCAGGTCATTTTTCACTGGACTTTTGCAAGAATTGTGTCTTTTAAAGGTATTTTTAGCACCTCTACATCCTACGCAGCTGCAGAGCACTGAAAAGCTTTATACGTATGAGGGTGTATTTTATAAAGCTGGTAGATCAAATCGGCTCCTGTTTGCAAAGGTGGCATAGGTCCAGATGCTTCTGGCAAAATTACAAAATAGGCAGGCCTGAAAGCAAAGGCCCTCATGTTTATCCAGGGTTAACAATGTCTGAGATAACAATGCCCCTTAGCCGCACAAGATGTGTATGCAGAGCACACAGGTGTGTGTTTGTGGGGCAGGGTTTAGGGTGAGCAAGATTACGTCTCTTTTACTAGCAACTGGTTTCCACTGTTTTTTCCATCCCAACTGTTAGCCACTTCTTATAATGCACGGTGTACAAGGCTGGACTGCATTTTCAGAAAACTGCCGTAAAAATCTTGTATGTGTGCTTTCATAATAGGATTTCCAACTGAAATGCTCCAAAATAGGGAACACATGAAATGAATAAATGAGAAAGTGAAGTAGGCTGGTTGCATGTCACTCTGAACTATAATTTAGAACTACAAGGACGAGCAGTGGGGATGTGGTCACATGTTGAGCTTCCTTTCTGTTTCAGTGAATCTCAGCTTGGCGCTACATACAAACCAGGAATCCTGGTTTAAAACAAACTATGGTCTGTTGCTAAACAAGCCAACTTCAGACAATGGGTTGGCTTATGTAACTAACCATTGTAGTAAACATGGCGATGATAGCATCATCCTGGAAACATAAGCCGGCCTGACTTTCTTCTGTATCTCTCATTGTGGCTTGATCAGCAGAAATAACTCAGGGTTCTTTCTACCAGATGAAGGATGCCTCTTGTTGAAATCCATCAGGAATGGAATAAAAAGGAGGCTTCCTACCTGAAATGCTATATTTCCCAGAAAAATCTCACGCTGCCCATCAGCATAAGCAAGATCGCCAGTTTTCTTAGAAGCAGTTTCCTTAGGATTGGACTTTTTGATGCACAATGAGCCCATTTGGTGTGATTTAAGGAGGTACCTGCTTCTGTCAGCTGCCACTGTATTGAGTTAGTCCTCTTTTCCTGTGCACCCTAGACTTCCCCATGTTGATGGGAAGGTCTCTAGAATGGCGACGTCTGATTGCACATGTTCAGTCAAATGTATTGATGTATTGAAAAAGTGACCCAGGCATCTCTCTCTCTCCCCCCACCCAGATTCATCCGCACTGTGTTCTGCATTGAAAGAGAGGCCTGGCAAATCCCTACCATGGCCTGCCTATGGAATGAGGTGCGGATGGGTGCAGTATTCTTCTCTTTCATCAGCTTTGTGTTTCTCCTTGCCTCTCTGGCCTCTGGACACTGGGTGCAAGGCCCTTACCAGATAGGTCTGTGGAAAATGTGCATGCTAGATTTCCCATGTTTTGCACCTGGAATGGATGTGCCAGGTAAGACTAGAAATGTGTAAGGAAGTTGATGGAATGTGCATGTGAAAATCCAATAACTTTTCTCTACTCAGCTGCAAAAATTGTGGTTTGGCACTGACTTAGTCTGACATCAGTCAAGCCAACATGAGGACTTCTATTTCTAGAACAGACTGCAATGTGGGTAATTGTGTTTCTGTTATGCTGGGAAAACTGGCACAAAGTTCAGGTCTCTGCTCCAAAATTTTGCACAAATCCTGTACATTTGCACAAATTGCATAAATACACACAGATTTGTGCAAATTGAGAAGTAGAAACCTGAATTTTACCCAAAACTGAAAACAACTGGCAGGAAATTCAGGGTGGCTAAGGTGGAGTACGTGCTCATGCAGGGAGAGGAGAGAGCTGCCATCCTTCTTGTGGACAATGCTAGAGCACAAAAAACAACAGGAAAAAATATTATTCTGATCAAATGAGTCGGACCCGACTTGTGCCAGTCTCAATTTGTGCAGGTTGCACTAGAGCTAGGTAGTTCCTGGATCCAAATTTCTACGAAATATTCTGAGCAAATCTGTGGAAGCCAACCGTGTTTTCCCATTCTGCAGGCTTGGTCTGCTTTTGCCCATTGAGTCAGCAATGGATCAAAAGTCTGTCCAAATCCAAGGGAATGGGCTTTCCAGTGTCACACATCCGTAACCAAGATCTTGCTTGTGGTCCTTTTGGGAACCCTTCAACTGACGTTTCTGCTAAGGAGTCTCCGCTGCATGTCTGCATGCATGTTCCCTATCCATAACTGAGGATTCTGGGAGTCATACCACATGCTGGGTTCCTGACGGGCCCACTAGTCGGGCTTCCCTGTCACTTCCCCAGATGTGAGGACAGCGTACTTCTGAGAACAAGGATGAGTGCACTTGAGATCTGTTTGGGATCTTTTTTATTTATTTATTTATTTTAGAAGCCGAGATCTAACAACTTGGAGGCAGGTTCAAAGTGACTGCAGGAAACTGACCTGGGCTGAAAATTAAGGAGGAGGGGACTTCTGGACAGATGACAGATATTATGTGGCAGCCACTATCTTCTTGCTGAAGGGCACTTTCCTTAAAAGGTTGCAAAGAGTAGTTTAGGCCCATCCTCTCTTGCCTCTCCAGTTTTAAAATTTAGGGAAACTTAGGAGTTCTTGCAAACCAGACACTGGACAGAAGAGAAGGCAGGCGTGGCTTCTGTCAACTGTGCCCTCCATGGACTTCCCTCCTGTCGACTCAGAGACCCGTTTGGCAGTACAGGTGAAAGAGGATGCAGGCACCGGGAGCTTGGAATGAGCAAGCAGCAGAAGCCTCCTCTTCCTTGTCTCCAAAACCACTAGGTCACTTGACCAGGAATTGTCATCTCCAGCTGGTCCACTGAAGACTGGGAAACTGAGATGACGCTAAGCAATGGCATGAGGGGAGCAATGTACTGTATGCTTGGAAGGATGTGATTGCAGAGTCAACTCACAGAGTGATCCTGGCAGGGTTGGCTGCGGGAGGCGCAAGAGATTATAGTGAGGGTGCGGGGCAAACCGGCTCAAGGACGGTGATTTGCTGGCATCGCGAAGGGGTAGCATGGCGTCGGGTATTATGCGCACTGCCTGTGTGATGACGGGTGGAACACCCCTTGCTGCCATACCTCAACTAGTGAACAGTCTTGGCCTTGCCCTGCTTCAGAGGCTCTTGCACAGGCACAAAGGGATGGGGGCATCTATTCTGTGAGGCATTTCCTAATACTTAATAGGGTGGGAACATTTCGCCTGTCCCCCTCTCTTGCCTTTCCGCAGCCTACATTCACGTCACCCGGGCTTTCATGCTGATGGCAGCAGTTGCTGGGACCGTCTCCTTCTTTGGCCTTTGTGCCTCCTGCTGTCACGCACGTGTTGGTCCCACCCCCCTGGCTAAGATTTCGGCCATAGCCAGCTTCATAGCAGGTATTCTGTTTAAGCGTTTTATATCCATTTGCTTCAAAGGTGAAATTGAAAAAGGTGAGAGCTGCGCCGGTCCAGGGGCAGGGCGCGGGGGTGGGGCTGCGGCCTTTAACTCGCCGGCAGCGACCGGGGCCGGCAGCCTCGGGCCGGCGGCCGAAGTGCATCGGCCTAAGGGCGGTGGCACCATTTGGGGCCATGCCGGGCTGTGCAGGGGCTGGGCTGGCCAGGGTCTTTGTAGTTGGCCAGCAGGTGAGGCTGGTTATATTGGGCTGTGGGGATTGTGGGGGGGTGTTTTTAAGTGTTTTTATGTGTTCTTAGTTTGTTTTAATGGAATGTTTCCCTCTCTCAACTGTGTCCATCCAGGTACTTGGTCCAGCCCCGACCACGCCTGGAGGGGAGGGGAGGGGAGAGGGGGTTGCTTTGGTTTACCGAGCCTCTATTTCCCTCATGGGGCTTCCTGTCCTCTCGAGGCCGGGTCTAGAGTGCCTCTACTTGGTGTTGGGCGACTGAGACAGATTGGGGATTCTGTTGGTGTACCGTGCATCCTTCTGCCCAACAGACTCCCTGCCTGAGCTGACGGAGATCGTCTCGGACTTGGTGTTGAAGACTCCCAGGAAGTTGGTCCTGGGGGACTTCAATCTCCATGCCGAGACTGTTCTAAACAGGGCGACTCAGGACTTCATGGCCTCCATGACAGCCATGGGGCTGTCTCAACATGTCACTGGACTGACCCATGAATGTGGACACACTGTCTCAACAGGACAGGAAGAGGGGGATCTGAGGGTGAGGAACTTGTGTCTGACACTCTTGTCATTGTCAGATCACTTCCTTGTGAGGTTTGAGCTCAAGAGTGACTTCTCCCTCTGTAAGGGTGTGGACCTGATTGTGTTGGTCCGCCCCGAGAGCCGGATGGATCCAGATGGATTCCTGAAGGCTCTGGGGGAATTCCTGGTTGATAAGGCTGGTGCTCCTGTCGATGCCTTGGTCGAACTGTGGAATGGGGAAATGACCAGGGCTATTGACACAATCGCTCCTAAGCTTTCTCTCCCACCTGGCAGAGCCCATTCATCCCCCTGGTATACACCTGAACTACGGGCGATGAAACGGGTTGTGAGACGTCTAAAGCATAGGTGGAGGAAATGAATCTGACTGAACACACTTAAGAGCCCATTATCGGGCCTATGCTGTGGCAGTGAGGGCGGCGAAGAAGAAATTCTTCTCCACTTCCATTGCCTCCTCACAATGCCATCTGGCAAAGCTCTTTCGGGTGGTACAGGGGCTGGTTCACCCAGGCCCCAAAAAAGACCTTGTGCCACCCTCGATTGCCCGCTGTGACGACTTTGCCAAGCATTTCAAGGAGAAAACGGCTCAGATTCATCACGAGCTGGACTCCACTAGTGCTCAGAACCTTCTGGGGAGGTGCCAATGTTGCCGTCTGGTCCAAATTTGATGGATGAGTTTCAGTTGTTGTGGCCTGATGATGTGGACAAGGTGCTTGGACAAGTACGTCCCACCACCTGCTTACTGGACCCTTGCCCATCTTGGCTACTTAACAAAGCCAAGCACAGGATAGGGGCCTGGATCCTGGAGGTTGTCAACGCCTCTCTAAGGGACTGCCGGGTACCTGCCCCTTTAAAGGAGGCAGTAGTCCAGCCAGTCCTGAAGAAAGCATCCCTGAATCCAGAGATGGGTGCCAATTATAGACCGGTGGCCAACATTCCGTTCTTGGGCAAGGTGCTAGAGCAGGTGGTGGTGGAACAACTCCAGGCACTCTTGGATGAAACTGATTATCTGGACCCATTTCAGTCTGGCTTCAGAACCGGGTATGGTACTGAATCTGCCTTGGTCGCCCTGTATGATGACCTGTGCAGGGAGAGAGACAGGGGGAGTGTGTCCCTGTTGGTTCTCTTGGACCTCTCAGTGGCTTTCAATACCATTGACCATGGTATCCTTCTGGATAGTCTAGCGGGATTGGGAGTTGGAGGCACTGCTTTGTGGTGGTTCCGCTCCTATCTCAATGGCTGATTCCAGAAGGTGGTGCTGGGGGACTACGATTCTGCGCCATGGCAGTTATGCCATGGAGTTCTGCAGGGGTCTATTTTGTCCCCCTTGCTATTCAACATCTACATGAAACCACTGGGAGAGGTCATTAGGAGGTGTGGGCTGCAGAATCATCAGTACACTGATGATACCCAGCTCTACCTCTCTTTTTCAACCAATCCAGGTGAGGCAGTGGCTGTGCTGAACCAGTGCCTGGCAGATGTAATGGGCGGGATGAGGGCCAATAAACTGAAGCTCAATCCAGACAAGACGGAGGTCTTGTTGGTGGGTGGTTCGGGCCTTGGGGTAGGGGACCTGGACCTTGTCCTGAATGGGGTTGCACTCCCTCTTAGGGACAAGGTTCGAACTTGGGAGTGCCCCTCGACCCAGAGCTGTCGTTAGAAGCTCAGGTGATGGCGGAGGTGAGGAGCGCTTTCCTTCAGCTTCAGCTGATCCATCAGCTGCGTCCCTACCTAGAGAATGATTGCCTGGCTACAGTGACACATGCACTGGTAACTTCCCGATTAGACTTCTGTAAAGCGCTCTATGTGCAGCTACCCTTGAAGACGGTCCAGATACTTCAATTGGTGCAAAACAGAGCTGCCAGGCTGCTGACGGGGACTGGGCATTGCTCTCATATAACCCCAGTCCTCCATCAGCTTCACTGGCTTCCCATTGAAGTCCAGGCCCAATTCAAGGTGTTGGTTATCACTTATAAAGCCCTCAACGGCTTGGGACCTGATTATCTAAAGGAGCGCTTGCGTCCATATATGCCCTCCCACCCCTTGAGATTGGCAGCAGAGGCCCTCCTCCAGGATCCCTTCAGGAGAAAAATCAGGAGGCAGAGTACCCGGAGGAGGGCCTTCTCTGTGGTGGCGCCCCACCTATGGAATGCACTCCCCAGAGAGGTCCACCTGGCGCCGTCATTATTTGCTTTTCAGTGCCAGGCCAAGACCTTTTTATTTAAGTTATTTTAATTGTTAATTTATTGATTGTATTTATTGGGTGTTTATGTACGTGCCAAGATGTTTCTGGATTTTAAGGCTAATTATATAATTGTTTGTTTATGTTGTAAGCTGCCCCGATGCTTTTTGCGAATGGGGCGGCATAGAAATTGTTTAAATAAATAAATAAATAAATAATTTTTAATTCTGTGCTTTGCAAGCCAACTTGAACTAGGACTTTTTTAAAAAAATGCATGGATGAGAAAAAGCTGAGAAGAAATATGACAGCATTATTCAAAAACTTCAAAGATTGCACCTAAAAGAGGGACAGGGTCTTTTCTCAATCATCCCTACTCTGTTCAGTACAGAGAATAATGAGGTCAAGTTACAAAAAGCCAGATTAGGGCTGAACCTCATGGGAGAATAAATTGTAACTGTTAGAGCAATATGACAATGGGATGAATGACCTAGGGAGGTTGAGGGTTCTCCAATGCTGGAAGCATTCAAGGTGCAGCTGGACAGCCATCTGTTGTCTACCATCCAAACCTCCCAGTATAGAAATTAATTAAATAAATAATAAGGATGCTTTTGCTTGGAATCCTGCACTAAGCTGGGGTTGGACCTGATGGTCTTCTTGGCCTCTTCCAACTCAACCCTTCTATCATTCTACAAGTAAACTTTTGAATGATGAAGATGTAACTCAATCGTTTGCATGCCGATTCAGATTGGGAATTGCTAAAAGGAACCCAGAATTAAAAGGCTCCCATATGCTACCAGTTTTCAAAGATGAAGAGTTCTCCACTGTGCTTCTTCCAAAGCTCAGACCAGCTTTGGAGCCAGTGCTGGGTGTGGCCTTGTTCCACTCAGCACACTCACACATCCTTGGCTACCTTAAGCAAACAGCGTCCTAACAATGCCATAGGTCAAAAGCCGGTGCTTCCTGAGCTAATGGTAGCTGAGACAAACTCAAGCAGATTTACATCGGTAAGCAAACAGCTTCCATCTTCCTTCTGAAAGTGATGCATCAACATCATCTGAGGAACCTTGCTGAGAAGGATTGTCTCCTTGGTCTGTAGGCATGTGTGCGCTGGTGGCCATGGCTGCTTTCACAGGAGTATTTTCTAACGCTTCCACACGGAGCTCAGTGGAGTCCTGGTATGACTGGTCTGCCGGACTGGGCTGGGCCTCTGGCCCTCTCTTCCTGATAGCTGGTGAGTATGCAAACAAAAGCCGTGCAAACATCTCCTTCTCTAATGCTGCATATGGGACCACCAGAGCCTCATACGCACCTAATATTCCCTTTGGACATCTGTGATGTGTCTTTTACCATGCAAGAGATAGCTATGGCCTTTTCATACCCTTTCTGGATGTGCCTTGAATAGATTTCCTGGATTCTAGAGATCCAGGGGGGATTCTTTAAGAGGAGCCTCCCAATCACCTCTTTTAGAGGATCAAGGAGGACCATCTGTGACTGCTCTGTCAGCGCTCCACTGTCATTTATGGTGCTTTCACATCTTTCTGGCATTGGCATCTTTCCCAGCTAAAAGACTCCCACACTATTTTAACCATGCAAGTCTTGTACACAAGGATACACCTTTGGCCGGCTAGATAATTTGGGATCCTGAACCAAGTATTCTTAAGTGGTTTGGATAGCTATGTGTCTTACTTTAGTTGTGCACACATGTAAATAACACACATGCACACACCTCACATTTCTCTGCCTCTTCCTCCCACCACTCCAGCCAATTCCACATTGCATTGTAAAGCTCCCTTAAGTCAGAGCACCATCATGACGACAGGGATACAATGGAGTTTGCTTTTGAACTTGCTGCTCCCTGGAGGGTTTTTTGGGGGGCTGGGGTTGGGTGCTGGGCTGTGCAGCTGTGGTGGACACTGGCCCTAAGCGATCACTTTTCTCTCCTGGCAGGTGGGCTGGCCTTCTCACTGCAATCCACATCATTGATATGAAAGCTGGGGAAATGCCACTCCCTCTGGGCCAGCATAGTTGTCCAGATGCTGCTTCTAAACTGTATCAACAAATGCAGGTGCACAACCTCCAGGCAATAACAGCAAGTGAGTCCCAGGGGGCAAATCAGAATCGTACGCCAAGGGTCCTCCTTGGATGAAACCTCTGAGGAACTGCAAGGGAGACTAAAAGCATTTTAACAATGATGCCCAAGTGTCTTAGCTGGCTTGCGTGCTTTCTACAATAAATGCACACCTACTTATCCTTCTGTGTCTTGTCCTTAAGGTTACACTGATGACTAGGAAGATTTGATGGCCATATGTGTATATACATTCCTACACAGACGTATACATCGAATTAATATCTCTCTCTATGGGAAACAGTTCTTCACATCGACACATGCTTGCATTGTTGGTCTTTATGGCCAGGGCTGATCAGGGCTGGAGTCTTGCAACATCTGGCACCGTAGTGGGCAGAAGGTAGATCCATAGATGTTTTGGACAGCAACTGTCAGAGGCATCTTGCAGCACGGCCAAAGATCCAGAGTGCTGGGAGCTGACCTCCAGGACTTCTGGGAATCTCCTTTCTGCCCGCACCTTCAACTGGAGTATTATGGGACCCTGGCACTAGAGCATGACCAAGAAACCATGTCCAGGCTCGGACTATGCAGAGGTAGACAGAAAAGGTGGAAGTGGAGGTAGAGAAGTAGGCTGGAAAAGGACTGGAAATTTCCTTACCTCCCCATAAATAGGGCAGGGAATTTGGAGGAAGGATTCCCTTGTACTGAGCTCTAATCCCATTCCCCCTTCACACCTGCACTCAGCTTGTGAAAAAGGCTGAATTAGGGTTGTACAGACAATATAAATTTCATTTTGTTTACATTTTCAGAGGTTTTTCTTGTCCATTGCTTATTGATTGAATTGGATTTCATGTGAATGCCTCCACATGCACTTGCACAATTTTGCGGTTTATTTATTTATTTAAAGTGTTTATATGCCATCCCAATACTAAAAGTCTCTGGATGGCTTCCCCCCACCCCCAAAAAAGTGCTAATTCACACCCTTCAAAATGTGCTAAGCCCCTCCAGCATTTATAATCAATCCCCAAATGCACATTTTTGTCCTTTTAGCCTGTGGAAGTAATACATATTCTTGGACAGTTTTTAAAAGTATTTCTATTACTAAACTTGTGCGAAATTGTGCAAAGTAAACACGAGCAAAAAACGAAAATCCCCCCCAAGTCCATGGAATCCACGTGACTCGTGACTCTGAAAAAAGCTGGTTTGCTGCAGAATCCAAGGGCCATGTGCAAAGAGCACCTGAAGAGGGAGAAGGGCAAGCTCCACTCCCGACCTTCACAGGTTGAACCAGAGGACTGAAGTGGAACCCCCATCTAATCTGGAGGCCCATACGATGGCAGTTCCTAACTCCCTCGAAAAATCTGCAAACATTCTTTTCTCTTTCCTCCCTTCTGCAAAGTTTGAAACCCTTCTCCTAAGTCTCAGCTCTTGGCAGCAAGTGCTTTTGGCCAGAGAGTTGGACTGGGAGCCAAGAGATCCAGGTTCTAGTCCCTTGCTCAGCCATGGAGCTCACTTTGTGACTTCAGGCCAGTTTCTAACTCTCAGCTGAGCCCACCTCACAGGGCTGTTGTGAGGATAAAATAGAATGCAGGAGGGTTATGTCTCTTGTCCTGAGTTCCTTAGGGGGGAAAAGCAGGCAATTAATCAAAGGGACTGGATAAAATGCAATTAAAATTCATGAAGCTGAAATATGCTCATTTTTCTGGTGTTCTGCTGGACACCTCTTGTTTTCTGCCCCGCTCACTGCCAGAATGAAGCCTCCATAAGCTCCTCTGAAAGGAATGATTGATGGCTCTGCCAGGGAAGACCCTCTCTTCTGATTCATTCCAGGGGGTTGATAGATTCTATTTTACCCTGCTCATTCCACCAAATGCACAGCCGTGAGAGGGAAATTTTCTAAAATGGGTAAGGAAAATACCAACGTCATCTCCCTCTTCTTGTTAGACGCAATGAAAAAAATATTAAGAGTAACCCCACCACTTTATGATCAGACCACCCCCACTTCTGGAATTCAAACCCCCAGGGGATTTTGGCTGAGGTCGCACAAAGCTTGGCAGGAAAGGATTCTGTACTCCTGTTGCAGGAAATTATTACAGAAAAACAAACTTGTAGGGAATGGCAGGTTGTCCATAGAGTGTTCTTTGTTCTGTGAATCAGATTAATTTTCAAAGGCTATTATTTTTTTTTCCTGGCACAAAAGTACGTGCTGCACACAGTACTGTGACGTTTGTTAATGGTGGATGCTTGAACTGGCAGATGAGTGGCACAGAAGCTGCAGAAAAAGGAAATATCTCTTGACAAAGAACGAGCTTGCATTTGATGGATCAGATAATAGATGAGGGGATCTTGCTTGTGAAACAATGGGAGCTCTAACCCAGCCCCCTGATTATCTCAGATGGGTTGTGAAATTAGTCCAGAGTGTGGCCTGAAGGCACATCAGGCATCTTCCGCATTGAAGCTAAGCAGGTCTGGGGCTGGCCCGAGCTTGGAAGGGAGACCTCTGGGAAACCACATGTACCCACTTTGAGTCCCACAGTGGGTGGGAAATGAATGCAAGGTGTTGGTGATGACCTATAAAGCCCTAAACGGCTTGGGTCCTGGTTACCTGAAGGAGCGCTTACATCCATATATGCCCGACCGCCCCTTGAGATCTGCAGGAGAGGCCCTTCTCCAGGAACCCTCCGTGAAGGAAATTAGGAGGGTAGGTACTCGGAGGAGGGCTTTCTCTGCGGTGGCGCCCAATCTATGGAATGTGCTCCCCAGAGAGGTCCTCCTGGCGCCATCGTTATTTGTTTTTCGGTGCCAGGTGAAGACCTTTTTATTTAAACGTCATTTTAATTGTTAACAATATTTACTAATTTATCTGGCCAGGGCGACTTCTTTTCTTTTATAGCTTTTCTAACTTCTTTTATATCGTTTATAATTTTTATTTATTTTATATTATTAATTTTAATTTTATATTGTTATTTTTGCATTGTATTGTATTGTATTGTATTGTAAGCTGCCCCGAGGCTTCAGCAAGGGGTGGCATAGAAATGTTCTAATAATAATAATAATAATAATAATAATAATAATAATATGGGGCAGCTCTTAGCATCTGGGAGCCAGTACTATTTTGAGAGTTGGACTGGGACTTGGGAGATCTGGGTACTGCTTTCTGCTGGGCCATGACTTCCACTGGGTGACTGACCCACAGCCTCGCTTGCCTGACAAGGCCCTTGTGGGTAGGGAAGGGACCATGGAAGCCACCTAGGCCTACTTGCAAGAGGGAAAAAGAGTGGGGTGGAAATAACGCCACTACATATAAGCAGACAGCGCACACCGGTGCACAGAACGTTAGTGGGTGGTCCCATGCAGTGCCTCCCCAGTAATCAGGCCTCCCTCAGGAGGAGCAGTGGAGGCGTCTTCACCTTTCCATCCTCCCATCCTAAGTGCGGTTTTTAGGGGTGGGGGCAGGAGGCTTCAGAAAGCTCTGGATAAGTTGGATCCACTCCGCTGCCACCAGAAACCTCTTTCCTCCTCCTTTAAGATTACCTTTTGGACCTCAAGGAGCAGCTGACGCAATTCTTTCCACATTGTTGCAAGAAGATGGGGAGGAGGCTCGGCTCTCCACCAGAGGTCAGAGCACCTTCTCCAGCCTCGGATGGAGCAATCGAGACAGTCCCACAGTCCCTGGGATGCTCACCCAGGACCACTCCCTTAAGCACTCAACAGTCAAGGGCCTGATGAAGCCTCCAGAGGTCCCCACCACTGCCACCAGCACACTCCGGAGCTCCCTGCTCCAAGGCAGCCCTCAAGCACCCCAGGGACTGGGGATGCAAACTTCCTGGAAGGGTTTAGAGGAGCGTTCAAGTGTCCCTTTTGTACAAGTGAGTCAGCTCCTCTGATTCATTCTGAGTGGAGAGGGGAACGCCCAGTGCTGAAAGCCGAATTGCTTAACTTCTTTTCTTTTATAACTTTTCTTTTATAACTTCTTTCATATTGTTTATATTTTATTTATTTTATAGTATTAATTTTAATTTTATATTGTTATTTTTATATTGTATTTTATTGTGTTGTAAGCTGCCCCGAGGCTTCGGCAAGGGGCGGCATAGAAATGTTTAATAATAATAATAATAATAATAATAATAATAATAATAATAATAATAATAAATGATTCCTGTTTAAAAGAACCTAACTGTTCTGGCATTGAAGGAAAAATCAATGTGATGATAACAGCTTTTATCACACTTGGGAAACCTCCAAGAGGCACCTGTAAGCTGCACTTCACAACATGGAGTTGGAGGTGCTCTTGCCCCACTGACTCAACTGACTGAATCGAGACGGGCCACGTAAGCAGCCAGGCCTGCAGAGGCTTGCCGTGCGGTGAACACACGTGATGATAAGGGAGGTGACCGAAAGCTGAGGCAGGCATGTCCGATTGCTCCTCTCAGGACAATCAGCAAGCACCCCCTGCAGTAGGGGTGGCACAAGCCCTGGAGGAATCTGCCCCTCCAGCATCCATGGACCTTCTCCTGTGCTGACACATCTTGCTAAGTCCCCTGGCTAAGAAAAGCTCTGCAGACGCTTGTGGAAAGGCAGTTGCAGCGCCGGCAACACTGGAGGAGAAGAGGGTTGATGCTGGCGCAGTGCCTTGGGCATTAACTGTGGCAGAGGCAAGCGGGGGCCTGGAAGAATCCCATGGCCTCCAGGTGATACCAGGAGGTCCTTGGATCATGCCCTTGGCCACTGAATCTCTGTGCCCGAGCAACTGTAACACAGCCTGCAGTGCATTGGCTGAAGTACTTTCTACCCAGAACTGCTTATCCACCCTACGTAACAACCTACCACCATTTTGCTGTTGGACTTCTTGAAGTCCTCAGGATCCAACTCTTCGGGGTCAAGTGGAATGGTTTAGAAGTCTGCCTTCCCCAGTCTGGTGCCCTCCCGCTGTTCCAAGCTTCAGTCCCTACCAGCCTCAGTCACCATAACCACAATAACCAATGGCCAGGGATGCTGGGAGTTGCAATCCAAGCCATCTGAACAGCTCCAAGTTGGGGAAGCCTCATTCAGTGACAAGGCCAAGCCCTCGTCTTCATTGTGACTGGAGAGGAGAGATTCTAAATGGCAGAGTTTACGTAATCCCTGCAATAATTTGCCTAATGAGGCATATCAGAATGTATGGCATCACTGCCTTGGCCTAC